CACCAACCCCTTTGTTGTGTCTTAGCGTCGCAGAGTTTTCCCTTTTGCCACTTTATCCGAACTGATCCCAACAAAACTAGGTGGCTGTCAGTGGCTTTCATATGGCGTTATGGCGGCGATTTGTTTTCCATTCCTCAGTGATCTCCTCGGGCATCCCACGAGATTGGCGACGCTCTGAAACCCCCATGGCGCATGGTGGGTACACCGAAGTCTCGACGTTCGTCCGCCAGTCTCGAACTCTTGTGATCTGCACAAGGCTATGATGTTGATCTCCAGATTTTTACCCCCTCCTTTTCATGTTGTCCCGCAAAACTCTGCCAGGTATCCACTGACTGAATATGGGTTATCCAGCCTACGGACGTACCCGATACATCGTCTGGATCCTCAATTGCCAATATCAACGTCTCGGTGAGGCGGCAAGGTTGCAACATTCCGGGCTGCAGGGTGATAACGTCCGTTTAGCCCCTTCTTGCCGAGAGCCTGGAAAGTTCCGTGCGCTTTTGTTTTTATCGTTTTTTTTTTTCTCGTGAAATTTTACTTTTTGTTTTTTTTTTCTTTTTTAATTCCATCCCGAAATCTGAGAACCCCTCCATCGGTTGTCGGTCCACGGGAAACCCGAATTCGGTCATAGCCAGCAACCCCTTGAATACTTACATGTAGTAGAACGTGTTATGGGGTCGAAGCGTCGAAGCGGTCAGACTAGAGCCTATCAGAAGTATACTGTGTTCATGCTGGAACCTTGAGACCACATAGTTCAGCCTTAAGATCTTGCTTTCTGACGGAATGAGAGCCATTTGCTGATCTACTGATGAAATGATCGCCCAGATGCAATCTCACATTACAATTTTGCAATTTGAACCTTTACAAATTGACCCATTGTCTACGGAGTGATGTGCTCCTTGAAACCCGCCTTGTCTCGCAGACGACAATTCCAAACTGCAACTCCTCCCGAGGGCGTTACTGTGTGGCTGAACTCAGACTTCAATCGCCGGCCCAGTTCCCGAGAATCATCTCGCGCAATTCAATCCGATACTGCCAAGAATAAGCTTCCCCTGCTTCACTTTGGTGGTAAAACACGCATCCGCTTTGGGCAGCAGGTCTGTCCAGACTGCAGTCGCTGCTTGCCAAGAACAAAGGAAATGAATTGTGAATAGTATGCATTAACGAGACCAGGGCCGTGAAATGAGAGAGGGGCAACTCGTTTTCTAGAGAGCTTTAGCTACCCCGCGTGGATACGGCTGGTGCCAGCTCTTGCATTCACGATGCATATTGCGAACTCGGAGTTGATGCGGAGCCCGGGTATCGGAGCGACGCTGACATGCGTTCTGATCCCTTTTCGTACCCCGCGGGCTATAGAGTTATACCCCAGGATTCGTGTCTGATTAGCAATGATTCATTTTTGAGGATCTGCCAATGGGAGACGCAGGTCTGCGCACTATGTTTGTAGAAATCGAATCTTGCTGGGGTATCCTAAATCGGAACATACTCGAATACAACCGGTGACAATGTGCATGCAGCATTCCGATCAGACCCCATAAGACAACTGAACGTTGCGATATGCCATCCCTCCCAATTAATCATGTGTTGCACAGAATAAACGTTCCAAGCCGTTTCAATCTTGGGCATTTCAAATTTATGATGCAAGATAGAGAACTTGACCATGATTGGTCCACAACTGCTGATAGCTCAAGAATAAGAAAATCGCACGCAAGCAGCGCATATGGGCTGACTATGCAATGTCGCACGTCACGCAAATCCTAGACGCGCCTCTTCTGCAATGCACTGCACCGAGCACCACCTGACCTTCCAACATCCCTGCGGGCCACACACGTTCCCAAGGGGCATCTGTATCCCGGACGTTGTATGTCCAAAGAAAAAAAAAGTTGAGCAAGTGGCACCACCTTACACGTCTTGGCATCTAGCAACCACTGGCAAGACGGGCAGGCGATCAGGGACAGCCGCTTTAGTCGATTCGATATACATCTAGGTAGTATACATGATGCGTAGGTCTAGGGAGAGCACGGGCCTTTGATATTAGTGCATATGGTAGGAATTTTATATCGAAATCTACTTAATATATACTTTTGAAAGCCACCTATACCGCGGACACCTAGTAGCCTCACTCAAAGTAATCTATTGTATATATACATACCCTGGCCCTGCCCCACGCTTATGCATAGCATGGGAGACAGGGCCAGCGCCAAAGCAACCCCCACCAAGTTCGAACACAGGCCAGAACGGAGGCGCGGCAGTCAGTGCGCGCGATCCCGGAGCTACGACTCGACAGTGGGATGATAGTGGGGCGTGGATAGCTTGGTTAGTTTGCGCGGCCGTGCATAAGGCGTTGCATTAGTGCGGCGAACTGACAATTGCTATGCATGACGGGGTCAGTGCATGGGCTGTTGTTCTGGACTGTTGGATGTGGGTTTTATCTCAGGGGTTTCATGTTGACATGTTGGCATTTTATACTTTGCGCTTGTTACTGATTTTGTTCTGGGGAAAATGATTTGCAACTTGCAGGTGTACCCCGAATGTCGCGGGGATTTTCATCTCCACAATCACTAGTTGCAGGGTCAATTTGTGTGACAAGTTGAGACCTGAGAGATTAATGAATGTCGAATTGATATCTCGGCTAAGTTGTCATTATAGCCACTCCACTATCACTATCAATGACTGATAGATTACCTAACAATCAAGCCACAAATAGAGAAAAAAAAATTGCAGTCGGTTATAAAACGCCGAAGCCCGAGGATTGGCTGATTTGGGCCCGTTATCATTCCATCGACGGGAGAGGCGTTTCCCGTTATAGAACGCCCATTTTTGATAACACGAGATTTAACGCCCGTCAAGCCCTAAGATTCCCGAGGTCGGAAATACGGCCCTTTGTATCCGCCGAATCTTGTGAATACACCTGGACATTCAACGTTTGAGTGTCAAACTGAGATAAGTACGCGGGGTAGGGGATTCCTTTAGGGCCTGGAATAGACGGGGATGGTTATCAAGTCGCTCATCTGTGGGGCTGAGGAGGGTCTCAGAGTGTCTGAGTAATAATGATCGCTGCTAGGGTGATCATTTACTCTTTTCTTGTTGCCCCTACGTCCAAAAGACATTATCCTAATATCCTATCGATTGGCCTGATTAGGGGCTCAGATAATGACAATCTCATGCCTAGGATCTAGGCATAAAGCAACTATGCTTATGGCCCGAAAACTTTGTACTTTGGCACAGTGCTCCAGAGCACAGACTAACTAATGTTCTCAGATTCAACAGACATCGCTATCTGCGGATATGAGGATATGGGGATGGCTTGTAGCCCTGCGCCTCTCAATTGCGGGGTGCATCTGCCACCTCATACTGTCCGAGCGATATCGTCTTGCCGTCTAATAACCTTCCGAGGTGTCTGATGTCCCAGTAAACAGCTGACAATGCAGCTATCATGAGACAAGGCAAACAAAGCCCCTCAGCTTGATAACACAGCTGACGAATAGATGTGATGTTCCTACCGCCCAAGGCCACCAGAGCTATGCTCTCCTCCCTATATCCTCAAGCCACAGCGGGAACCAGGGAGCGGGCCCTTAGAAGCCGAATTTCACACAGACCTTCCCCACACTTTGACTGTCATGCTCACGCAGATGATCACAACATGCATCTTGCGCCGGAAGATCCGTGAGGAAAGACAGCGTCTATCTCCCACGCGATGTATGCACATAGAATCAAACTTCGCCTTCACTCACATGACACTTATAAGAGCAAGTCCAGTTCCGACATTCCGGCCTCACAATGTGCTCAGGCTCCGAGGAAATAGTATTTCAAAGTCAATTCTTCGCTTTCTAGCAGCCACCCCCTCACCGCTACCCATGATAACCCATAGGAATGATAGAATGCTGCCTACAACGTCCGCCACCAGAGAGGCGAGATCTAACCAGGCTTCTCTTTACCCGCTCTTTCCTCCCTCTCGAGATGGGGTCATCATCCACCATCCTATGTGGCGGCAGGGCTATACTAAAACTCGACTGAAACTTTTTCTTCTCAGCCGGCCTGGTCTTGCTCAGGGACTGGTGCTCGGACTTGTATTGCGTTGTCACTGGAAGGTACCTCTATCTTTGCGAATGGACCGTGCGCGTTGTGCTTCATGGCGTTGAGGGACGTGTCCTGCATCTTTGCCGCCACTGTGTGGGCGAATAGGTGAGCTTGGTTGGGGCGATGGCGAAGAATACGACAGATCCCTATAGCCGGGTTTAGAACACGCTGTGCAAACTTGAAGTACCGGTATCGGGTGATTTGAATTTGACTCCGTTGACCGCTTGGTCTTTGACATAGGGACAAATGGCATGTAGATTTATTCTGGTTGTCTGGGTTTCTTCGACACAATGCCTTTGTCCGTCATATACCCTGCCGGACTTCCTTTCATGAGGGTCTCGCGATCGAGTGACCATACTTTGGAAATTGGATGGCCAAGACCAGTTCTCAACGGATCTTAGTCCATTCTACTCACAGCAAGATGTGCTTGCTGATATTCTTTGGTCTACTCTAGCGATTTTACCTAGGCTACATATCCAATTTGAAGTTGAAGGGAATCTCTCAAGAAAATGCATGTTTAGATATATTCTACTGAACCCTCTCCGAGCTCATTTCCGCCTAAGGCCTCCAACCTTCCAAAGAAGGCACCTGATGGAAAACATCTACCTTTTTCCATTTTCTATCATCTTCCATCTCCCCACATCGCTATGTCCAAGCATTTTCATCAAGTTTCATCGTGTAGAAACCTGGTGTCAAGAGCCACTCTGTAACAGCGCCAGGCAAAACTCTCTCAGGGCAGTTTTTGTTCAAGCACGAAGCTGACAAAATTGAAGTTTCAGTGTTGAAAGTGGAAGTGGAAGTGAAGGTGAAGCTGTAAGCGGGAGATCACCGGTCCATTGGTGGAGCCAACTTTTGCCCACAATTACGATCCTTGGTCTTCACCTCTTGTTTGCATTCCGGGGAACTACAAAAACTTGCTCATGTCTCAAGTGCAAAGTTCCGGATTGGCCGACCTCGAAAAAGAGCTAGTATGCTCCGTATGTCCTCCATTCCCCTTACATTTCTGCTTCTAACACCGCTCTTTGCCCCAGATTTGTACCGAGCTCCTTTACCAACCCCTCACTCTCCTTGACTGCCTCCACACTTTCTGTGGCTCATGTGTGAAAGAATGGTTCTCCGCGCAAGGGTCGCGTCGCCCCCGTGCCTCCCCTCGATTCACCTGCCCATCCTGTCGTGCTGAAGTGCGTGACACCCGCCCAAATGCCACCGTGACGACCCTGCTGGACATGGTCTTGACCGCCCACCCAGATCGAGCCAGAGCGACAGACGAAAAGGTAGAAATTGCTACTAGATACACACATGGCGAGTCCGTATTTCCAGCACCTCCTTCGGGCGGGGAAAGTGCGGAGGATGATGGCGAAGATGACAGACGCCTTCTAGAGGATGTGCGCGAACTCAGTATACGTGAAAGCCGGTCGCAAGCTAGGCGTGAGACCCGAAGGATGGGACAATCCTCGCGGACGCGTGAGAGAAGCAGCCATACCGAGAGGCCTGCGGATGACGGTCGGTCAAGGCGTCGGAGGGATGATGATACAACGCGGCAACAACGCTCACTACGGCCCGATGATCCGGAGCGCTCGCGACGGATTGAACATCAATCTAGTCTGCGGTCATTATTGAGTTTGTCATCTGATGCGGAGACTATGGAGGAAGAGATCTTGCGACAAATTCTCGAGGATGGATTACTAGACAACATCAACCTCGATAATCTGGGGCCAAGGCAAGAAGAGGAACTCAGTGAACGCATCGCGGATGCTTACCGCCGGAGGCATATGCAAAGATCGCAGTCTCGCCAACGACAAGAACAAGGACGAGAACCGCGACAAGAGGCTGACGGATCTGCGCGAACACATGCGAGGTCCGAGCCTGCTCATAGGACTACGGAACCAACAGCGGCTACCCGAGAACTCAATGTTAGACGACCGCCAGTTTCTAGACCGCATCTGTTCGATTCGGCCCCCACACGACCGAGCATAGGCCATCAAAGACGCAACTCGGAGCAAGTGGGTGGACGCCGAAGGACCTCGCCCGTCCGAACGAATCCGGGGTCTGCGTCAGATGAAGCCATAAGACCTGCTATCCGATCCTCAAGTGATATGACTGCGGATCGCCGCGTTTCACAGGCGGGGCGCTTACGATCAGAATCCTCATCCGCCAGGCCGCGACGTGCCACAGAGTCAGAACAAAATCTCTCTAGTACGTTAGTGGCCGGAGGACGAGAAAGAAGCTCCTCTAGACAGACCAGAAGTCAATCAGCCACCAACTCTCCCACTTCTGGCGGTGTCACCTCACCTGCATCCCGCCATCAAAACCAAACAGACCACACCCTTCCGTCATTATCCTCACCTCTGGTTCCAATTCGGTCCGAGAGACGAACAAGGCCATCTTCATCAAGATCAAATGTTCCTGCATCTCCCACTGTGCAGTTTCCAGAGCCCTCTATCTCCTGTGACCGTTGCGGAAAGGAAAATATCCAATATCATCTACACAAGAGATGCCTTAGTTGCAAGGAAGGGAACTTCCACCTGTGTCTACAATGCTACCGCTTGGGACGTGGCTGTCTTCGATGGATCGGATTTGGCGCATCCGCAAATACGACATTTCAAAGAATCATATCGTCGTCTAGTCGACGCCCTGTACAAGTCAATGACTCAGGCCATATCCTATTGTGGTTCAAATATCAGAAGCCCCCCGAGACTGCCCATCAATCTATGAGCGGAGAAAGACAAATGACAAGCGACAACCCAGTACGTCGCCTACAAAGCGGCCTCTTCTGTGACACATGTCAATCATCGGCAAACGATTGTTTTTGGAAATGCAACCAGTGCAATGAGGGAGACTGGGGCTTCTGTAACTCCTGCGTCAACCAAGGACGATGCTGCACCCACACCCTTTTACCCATCCGACGGATTACCCATAGCCCACCTCCATCAGCAGCGTCCACCACACCGCCGCCAGGTGAATCAAATACCCCCCTACGACCCTCTGAAATTGAGAGTTTCAAGATTCTCTCGTTCTCAACAAACTGCGATATCTGCACATATCCAATCCCAGCCTCAAATACCCGTTACCACTGCCTAGAATGTAATGGCGGTGACTACGACGTCTGTACAAACTGTTACCTCAAACTTGTGGCAACGGGCAAAATCAATAAAGAGAATGGACACAACGGCTGGCGCCGCTGCCTCGCCGGCCACCGTATGATAGTAGTCGGTTTCGAAGACCACGAAGAAGGTCAGCGCCGCGTCATTGTCCGTGACCTTGTGGGTGGCCGCGCCTTGAGAGACGAGCACGTGGCACAATCACAATCACAAACTTCCTCCCCAGCAGCTGGTGGCCCCGTTGCATCCCCGGAGTTCGGAACCGGTGACTGGAGCTGGAGGGACGGCCCTGAGCGCCGTAAAAAAGCATCCCGTCTGCGCGCCGGACCTGCCCTTACAAATGATACCAGCAGAATTTCTGTCTCTGCTTCTGACCTTCCAAATCCACCGAATTCCAGTGCGGCCGCGACGCCGATTCAGAATGTTCCGCCCTTCCGCCGTTTCCCGCCTGACGGTGGTGTCGGACTCGTCGTCCATGCTCTGTGGTCTTGGTACCCAGAAGAAGAAGTCTCGGACGAGCTTGTTTTCCCGCGCGGTGCACATATCACCGAGGCGGAGAATATCAACGACGATTGGTTCTGGGGATGTTATGCTGGTCGTACGGGACTATTTCCTGGTTCACATGTTGAATTCGTCAGGGAGGTCCTTAGGTAAAGATGCCTTGCCTTTTTCTTAATTTGCTTTTGAATACTATGATACGCACGACATGCATCGTATACCCGTTTGTTTTTCTTCTCCCAGTTTTTTTGTTGCGTTTGTCCATTGCATAGTTACGATGCTTATGATGGCCGGAGTTATGAATTCGAATGCTGCATCTGCATTTCTCATTGCTTACATAGTACATTGTTAGATACGATGGGTGATAGATAAATCTATTGCGTCCATGATATAAAGAGTATTCGAACGAATCTAAACACCCTGATGAATCCCTGCATTAATGACTATTTGTTTACATACCGAACACATAAACCGATAATCACACCAACGATCGCGCCGACCAGTATGCCTATACAGAAATGCACGGCATAATACTTCACCACCCGTGCCTTGGAACCATTCCTCCACTCATCCAAGAAGCTTTTGTTGGTGTTCAGAGTGCGCTTTGGGGGCTGTCCCGCCAATTTCTCAATATCATAATCGGTACTGTCTGAAGGAGACGTGTGTGCGTGGGTCTCTTGCTTCATGGACTCCATCTTGTGTGGTACAAGCGCGTTCGACCAGTCGCTCAATGTGCTTTGGAGCTCGTTACCACACTGTCATTTCAAAACTTTCAAAATTGAACGGACCTCTAGTAGCCCAGACTCACATATGCTTTATTTTCTTGTTTCGTCTTCGGTCGTTTGAATGACAATGGCTTTCTACCCGCGTTGTGAGAAAGGATATTGGATAGGGCCGCTTCGATGGATTTCTTTGAAGTCCTTGTAACCTTCAAGATGAATCAAGAAGGGGAAAACAAAAAGAAACTAAAACACAGAATTGCTAGCTAGACTTTATAAATTGGATCAACCGCAACCGGATTAGTCGTTACAATGGGGCAGAGAATTGCCCGACCGCTCCAAAACATAGACGATCTTTATGGAGTAAGAGAATGTTAGATTGATACATCGGGCTCGTGGGTCTCGACAGGGGATCTTACATTGGCATCAATATGCGTAGGGACCAGCCTTGATTCCTTATGACTGACAACCATGTGTAAAATTGACGGCCAAATTACTCAGACACTAAGGCAACCTAGGTGTAAATATCTCCGAGTATTTTGTCAATACTCATTATTGACTCGAGAAACTAATGGCGTACAGCTTTTTCTTTTGACGATCTTTGGGGCCATACGAGCTGTGGGTCGGGGGCCGTAAGAGTATTGTACCAAATGGAGTAATTCATATATATAGGGGTTTTCAGCTCGTTGATCGCTCCTGATTCTCTATGTATGACTCTGGATTTATTCTAGAGAGAATGTTGGATTCCTATATCCAGATATTCGAGAGAAGGGAAGCACATATACAGAACAAGGAGTGTATAGCCCGAGTACCTTTCTGTTGAGGGCAGGGCTGAACGGTCACCTGAATTGGTTAGCTCAAGCCCCGTGAGACAAAGCCCCGCGAGCGAACCTCCTTCACATCAGCATATATCGAGGCATTGTTGTGCAGTCCGCCAGTTCAATCTCCACATTGTATGCTGCCTTTCCAATATCTGCATATAATCCCATCTTCATATCATTACTATCTAAGCCCTCTTGATGACACGAAGTTATTCACTCAGCCGACAACCAGCCATCTACCGGAAATCCGTCAGAGTGCTCTAAGAGAACATAAACTGGGCAATCATGAGCTGGTTAAAGCAGATCTTTGGCAAATTATCAAAGATATCGGAAAAGAAAAAGCAGCAGAAGGCGAAAAAGCGCCGGAGCAGAGAACATGCTCGACGAGTTCGAGAACGGGAAGAACAATTAAGGCGTCGACCGGGAGAAAAGGCGCCCTTTTTCTTTGGTTCGCCTTTTAAAACATATGAAGTGAACTATCGCGGACCTGCAGCATGAGGTTGAAGGGTTTGCTCTTATTGAGCTGCTATCACAGAGTGCTCCGTACACTGTTCGAATGATTCGTTTGTTTGTTTCCTTCATTGGCATCTTCAAGAATCGACACGAAAATTTGGGACTTTCCACCCGCAATATCCCGCTTTAAATAGCAGGTTTCACGCTATCCGATGATGCTGACCTCGCTAAATATTACGTCCGAGGAAATTACACCGAACTCAGTCTTATTGAGTGTCACGTCGACGCCGCGAGCTCTTGGCGTTTAACCTTTTGAAGATGCCTGAGATCTGTTAAGGCTATCCAGCCGAGTTCAGACCTCCTTTTCTGCGTATTAATTTGTGATTGAATATAAATACATTCCATCTTGTCTTCTCTCCTTGCCCAGGAGTTCCAGGTGTTCTAACATATACACAGCACAGCATTGTGCTTCGGTTTAGAACAAATTATGTCATTTCTTATTCTATCTACTGAAGTACGTCTGAATTTGATTTTGATCTTCTGTCAGTGGTTCTTCGCACACCCTCACAGCTCGAGCCGATATCAGCTTCAAGGGAAATTACGATAGCTGTACAGATCTATCAAGACAGCGCAGAAGTGAAGGATGAGTTATATAGGCATCTATTCCTAAGACGCCAATATAATTCTTTTCCACGCCTGCCTCCCACTTCACGTTTCCTCCCTTAATTTTTTTCACGCTCTCATATCCCTTCCGGGTCGCTTCCTTCTTGACTACCTCTCACCTTATCTCATCAACACAAGAGAAGATCCAAACAGCGTGGATTGACATCCTACGGCAGTTACAGCAGATAATTCAGCGGATCATCTTCTCTCGATTAAGAACAGGTCTGAGGGGGCAGCCAGGAAGCTATTGCAAGTGTTACTGTCGCTATTATAGCTGAGGCCGCAACCTCAATGGACCAATTTCCGCTGGTCATGATGCGGACTTAGGCCCCTTAATTTGTTCCAGGATAGAATTTCTTTCTCTTCTCTTTCCATCTTCATCATATTTATATTCTGTTTACCTTGCGAATCGACCGCAATGTTCAACACATTCACTCGTTTCTGTCATGCTCCTTACAGCCATGGCAGCAAACTAGCGTCATGGTCTTTTCGAACTTCTGGGAAGGCTTATGGTCCTAATTTGCCGTGTTGATTGCGGGGGCATGTTGTATCAGAAGGTACGTCTAAAGGTCCTTTTAGGCCCACCCCCCTTATGAGAAACCTCCCAATTTCGGAGAGCTCAACTCCAAGCAATCAAAAGGCCGAGAGAGAGGTTTTTGAGAAGCAGCTCCGAGACATAGAGACACGATCGCGTGGTTCCTTGGAAGACCATCAGCAAATTCCACACAGACCCTTGCAATTGGGCTGAGGTTATCTTTCACGTTTGAATTGATAAAAAGCTTGCAGTCGATTAGATACAGCCAGATCCTCGCTCGGATCGGTCTGGGGAACTATAAGACCTTTGCAACAGGGAAAAAGACTCTCTCACCCTGTGAAATGATAGTACTGCCAGATAAACCGAGATGAAGAAATATCAGGCCAAAGTTGGAACCATGGTGAACTGGCCCGCAGATATGCCACCAAGGCTTTATCGATGGCCTTTCCCTATGCCGCCATATCCGCCAGCACTACTGGACACAAGTGAGTACATATACTTGATACGCAATTTTTGTCCATTTTCGCTATGGAATTGTAGCATTGTTCTCCGCTCTGACCAGACTTGAGCTCATAGCAGGCCAGAATGCAATCAAGTATGGGATTATTTCCCACAGATGGGAACAGGCCTACGAGCCCGGACACGGACCCGAGAATGGCATGGTTGGCTTTTGGTGTGATGCGCCAGAGCGCATCGATTTTAGAAATCCTAACGACAACGACGCCTCGGATTACGATGGCTCGGTATCCGAGAGCTCAGTTAATCTGGTCTTCATTTTGTTCTGAGAATACTACAACAATGATCTGCCACTAATGAAGTGTTGCATGTCAGAAACACAAGATTTCTCTTTGTGCCCTACTCCCTAGAGCTTACCACAATCTTTGCTTTGTTATTACAAAAGTCTCATCTACTTTCTGGCTTCCTGTCTTTCCCGGTGTTCTATCACTTGTCTTCGTCTCTTTCAAACCGAGGCTGTCATTTTGCCAGCACCAACCTGTCACATGGTTTCATCAACCATGTTGACATGCTATTTCAAGTATCCATTTCTAGTCAAGCTCTCTTCCGCACTATATATCCATTGTAGAGACAGGTAGCATCCATATATCTGATTATAAGAGCTAATCTAGCAGTAGTTTCAGCAATAGTTCTCAGTGTATGCTTGGCATCAATCCATTTTCATTTTCTGTATCCCTTAATTCTTCTACCTTAGGGGTGGTTTTTCCTCCCTGGCGGAAATTCAAACTAGTTAATTATAACGATGGTTTAACTTGACTGTTCATGGCTCCCATTAATAATTTCCTGTGGCCACAAAAGCCAATCTCGATATTTCGGGTCCAACACAGAGTATAGTTGTGTCATAAGGCGCGAGCTTAGACCTTCCATCCACCACATCCACTCGATCTGACGAATAGATGCGCACCAATGAGCAAAGATAACGAGTGCAATTGGGGCTTCCTGGCACAAGAGATTTAAATATTCATCTGAGACATCAAGCAGCCACCGGAAGACATCTGCGCTCTCGAGTCTCCGCATGATGCCGGGCCTGATGGCTAGACCCAACGTTCGGGCTAGTTCATCTAAAGCCTCTTGATAGGTCACTCGAAGTGACGGGTCAGCTGCACATTCCCTCCATATCATTTGTTGCAATTCCCAAACGTGTGGCTTGCCTTGCTCAAGCGCATGTGGCGAGCGATGGGCAGCAGCTAGATAAGATCCATTCGAGAAGATAGGCGCCAGTCTGCCAGTACGAAGGTCCTCACCACCGGTGCGGATAACAGTGGTTGTCCCTCGGAAAAGACGGGCCCACTCTGATAGATTGCCACGCTCAAAGAGGACCAAAAAATCGCCCTCTTCCGATGGCTTAGCACAGGAGAACATGCACGTTAGAGAAGAGAAAATGAAAAGCGCTGCACCATTGTCTCGCGCGAGAGGTGAGACGAGCGGGATTATCTCCCTCACGGCGGTGCTGTGATGTATCTGTGCGTGAGCAAGACATGTTGCGCGTCGAGATTCATCGCAGCGAGCTAGATGTAGCGCAGAAAGTGCTAGCAAGGTGTGTAATACCGGCGGCGTTTCAAATCCAATTCGAGGTGCTTCAGTGCACCAGACGGTTTGCACAGCGGTGCTTCGCGATAGTGTATAGCAGGTTGAGGTTGTCCAGTGGTGCAACAGTTCCAAGTCAAAAACAGCCAATGTGGAGGGGAAGGGTCCTAATGACGACAGACTTGGTAAAACTCGAACCTGCGAGATGCCAAGTGCTGGGGCACGGAGTATTCCAGCTCCAGCGCTATCTGGTCCAGATAGCGGCACAGGTGACTTTGCTAGATCCGCTTGTGGCGTGGAAAGCGTAGTTGAGGGACCGGCGAAGGAACAAACCACCCCGTGCTTCTCACAGTTACGACAACGTGGCTGGCTTTCGTCGCACTGATACAGAACTATAAGCTAGTGCTCGACAGAAAGTTTAGTGGATTCCCCACCTTGACCTTTCGCTTTTTGCATTGCAAGCATCCGGATCGCGATTTCCGGTGCGAACGACGGCCTGGAGGGAATCTGTCCATGTCAATCTCTAACAGGTACCATGCAACTATGGTGAACCCCGAGAGTCATTTAATATAAATTGTATCATTCAGAAGGAATCTAAGCGCCTAGTCCACGGAATTTGCGGAGGCGCAGTGGCATCTCGTTCAAGGGGCTGCGCTAGCCGTAATCGGCTAGCGTTATCAGATTTGGTGGAAACAGTGTGCATTCCTAGTTTGGACCTCAAGATCTTCGGAATGAAAAAACACATTCTAAGCTATATATGATCTGGCATAGATAAATTTGGACTCAAGCAACCCACTAAAGAGAGATATACATATTCGCCATGAAATCAATAATGTGAGGTTTTCCACTGCTGCAGGTCATCTAAAGAAAAATATAGCTCTCATACCATTTCAGCTACATGAATTATCCCGACTCTTACCTTTTATATTCAAGATCTGTAGCCAGATAAGGTGGCTAGAGACCTACTCCATTACCTGGCTAATTACCTCTGGTATTCGTTGCACCTTGCATACCATATTTTGTGCTGTAAGCCTCGATAAGGCGAACCACCGTCTACAACATGGAGGCCAAGCACGGCTCTCCACTTGACCTGCATGTATGACATCGGACGCACGGTACGCTATCCCAGGCTGAACTCTGAGAACTGACCGCTCTTCCTTGTCCAGTCTCTTTAAATAATGGAATGACCACCTGTACCCATAGCATTAATCCCATTACCGGCAACTATTTGCAAGATCTCCCAATAGTAAGCCCTTGGCATTCTTTGAATATCCCCATTGGTAGCACATACTGATCGACTCATAAATAGATGCCTCAAGGAACTGGAACCCTGACAAGCGACAAAGGACGAATCCTTGGCCAATTTGAAGTTGAAGGCGCTCAGTATATTTTCGTGGGAAACCTGACTGGCTTCGGGCAGTCTTTTTCCATTCCAAATGCCGACGTCACCTATGACTCAGCCGACCAGTTACACAAACAATCTGAAGATTTTGAAGCATTGCCCGTAGAGAAGGACCAGATTGAACTCAAGCTCAAGAATGGGATTTCGATCACGGGCGGGTTTGATATGCCCTTCAGCGATGGCGAGGTGAAGAAGGGAACCGTTGTTGGCGGTGGAGGAAAATGGCTGAAACTGTGATTGTGATGAGTTTTGACCTATTGAATATGTAAGAGGTCTAGTCTAATTAGAATGAATCGAAGTGTTGAACATCAAGTTTTGTGTATATACATGTACATGTAAGAAAGGCCGTTGGAACGTGAGGCAACTAAGTCTTTAAAATTAGAACGAAAGACCCATGGATACAGATGCCATGAACCTTGGATGTCCAAAGTAAATATTGGCAGACGTCAAGCCGCAAGGCTGTGAGCGCCCCCACCTGGCTGCGCCACACTCGGGGCAGCCGGGACATTATAAACAACACCCTTCAGCCCTGACATTTCTTGACTTACAATCAATTTATCATGTCTTATCACCCTAACCGTGAGTAGAATTGGAACATATATTGACATTTTGGACCTAGACATGAGCTAATTCAGTCAATAGAACCTCCGTACGGAGGATACCCACCCCAATACGGACAGGGAGGCCCTCCTTCGGGACCTCCGCCTCAGGGCTATCAGCAGCCTTACGGTGCCCCTCCCCCGCAGGGTCAATACCCCCCCTCAACAAGGTCACTACCCCCCGCCTCAACAAGGACATTACCCTCCACCCCAGCAAGGTTATCACGGTGGCCCACCTCCGCAGGGAGCTCCTTATGGCGCGCCATCTCCCCAACCCCACGGATACCATGCCCCGCCCGCGCAGCCTCCATACGGCCAGTCGCCGCATGGCTATGCCCCCCCAAGGTCAAGTGCCCGCAGGTGGTCCCGGATACCCACCTCAAGGCCAACCACCTGTTGGATACGGTGCACCCCCCGGCGCACCACCACCTGGCGCATTTCCACCCCAGGGTGTTCCGTCAAGACCGTCCCCCGGTTACATGCCTGGTGAATTAGCGCCAGGCGACTTCCGACCTCAAGCAGATGCGCTCCGCAAAGCGATGAAGGGCTTCGGCACGGATGAGAAGGCACTGATTGCAGTCCTCGCGCAACTCGACCCGCTCCAGATGGCCGCTGTCCGCGACACATATTCCAAGCATCTTGGTCGCGATCTCTTCAAAGATGTCAAATCCGAGACCAGCGGGTACTTCCGCGACGGCCTACTTGCCGTGCTCGACGGACCGCTCATGCATGATGTTGAGAACTTGCACGACGCAATTGATGGCGCTGGCACGAAGGAGTGGTTACTCAATGACATCCTGCTCGGCCGGTCCAATGCTGACATCAATGCTATACGGACCGCCTACGAAATGAGACATAAGCGGTCGCTCGCTGGAGATGTTGAAGGCGACCTCTCCTTCAAGACATCCACCCTTTTCACCACTATCCTTCGTGCTGCTCGCCATGAAGAATCTGCCCCTGTCAACCCACAAACCATTGAGGCGGATGTTCGCTGCCTGCAAGCGAAAGAGAACATCACAGAGGTGTGCGTTATCTTTGCTCAGGCGTCTAACGCTGAGCTCCGCGCTATCAGCCAGACTTTCGAGTCACGCTACAATATCCCCCTCGAGAAGCATATCGAGGATGAGTTCTCGGGTCACATGGAAGACGCACTTCTTTTGATGCTCCGCTCGGCTACGGATCCTGCAATGCGTGATGCTATCCTACTCGAGGATTGCATGAGCGGTATGGGTACTAAGGACGAACGCCTTGTTGTCCGTGTTGTCCGTGTCCACTGGGATCGTAACCACAAGGAGAGGGTTAAGCGCGCTTACGAACACAAGTACGGAAGGAACTTGATTGACCGGGTGCGTGGCGAGACTTCTAGTGATTACCAGCGGTTGATGGTTGCTCTTCTTGAGTAGAAGCCCTTTTCCTTTCTTTTTCCCTTCTCATTCTATTCCTGTACAAATTATGACCTTTGTACGAATCTCTTTTGTTCATGATAGGTTAAATTTACTTTGAGATACCATGATCTGAAATGAGGAATATGAGCTACGCAAGACAGATAGTGCTGAGTGCTGCCGTGAGAGAAGCCAAAGAGTCTGTTGTATGCTTTCAACACCATCAGAGCCTTGTAATTGCTGTATCAATTATACAAACCGTGTACGCTTCCTAGATATTTGCAAGTTTCAAACCTTTTGGCTATAAGTCAATAGTCCACTTTGTCCGCAACCTCTCTCCCCATGTTTGGAATAAAATCGGTATAGGGGCCATTGCCAAAGCAAGGAATGCCAACAAGCTATTTCCCCATCCAAGGCCAAGTTTATCGTACATCTGCAATCCACACAGAGGAAGAAGAGCTCCCAGCAAGCTCCGCAGAACAGTGCAAGCAGCCACAGCACTGGCAGCATGTGCAAGGAAAGCATCTACCAGATATGTCTGGACACACATCAATATGATGATCATTCCGAACCCAGTAACCGCATTCCCGATCTCAGGAATCATCCAATGGACCACTTTATCTGTAGACCATCCATAGATAAAGAGACCTGCCGGGATGGCTAATGACCCAGGTATAGTGAGATACATGGGAAGTCGGTCCTCGGGGGTAGGTGCCTCCTTGCGCTCAAGTTTGATTCTGATCTTGCGATCACTCAATGTCCCCACGTAGGCAAGACCAAGCAACATGCCCACTCCGCTTCCCAAGAATGAGAGGCCGCTGCCGCTGGCAGAGAAATTGTATTGACCTTCGAAGACAATAGTGAATGTTGTAAATAGAATGTAGAGGAAGCCGTAAAGAGCAGCAATGTAACTGGACATTAGGGCTACTATTGGTGATAGAACAAGCATTTTCGACGGTCGAATGAGACTCCGGAGGAACAGCTGTTTTGGAGGGATACCAGAGTCCAATCGAGATCTGTATGCAATATCTCCTGTCGACTTTCGTAGTTGTGCAGCTTTCCGCTCAAGGAGAATTGGCGCTTATGTCTCCGGCACGGCGAAAAAGAAGACGATCGATGCGGCTCCGCCCTAGAAAAGGAGTTAGAAATAAGACTCTTTTGATCTGGTCTTGTCTATCTTACAGCGATAGCAAGCACCCAAAACACCCATCGCCAATTTGTCGCCTCCACCAGGAACCCACCCACAACGGGACCGACGATCGGACCGAATAGGGGTCCTAAGGACCAGATAGCCATCGCCTGCCCTCGTTTTTCCCTCGGCACAAGATCTGCAATCGTGCCACTACCACATGTGATGGCAGCGACACCCGCAAACCCATCCAGAAATCGGAAAACCACCAAAGACGCCATATTCGGAGCTAGCGCACTGGCGATATTGAACACGACGAACAAGACATTGCAAACTTTGTAGACCCATGCGCGGCCGCTATACTCGCTGACGGGTGCGACAATCAGAGGACCGAAAGCAAATCCTAGGATGTAAACCGAGAAGACAAAAGAGGAGAGGACATTAGATGTTGAACCGAAGTCTTCGAGGACTTGTCTGATACCTGGCGCAAACATCGAAGAGGCGAGCGGACTAGTCTTGTCAGAATCTTGGCTGACACGCGAAAACATCAAAAAAAGGTACCCACGTCAAGAAAGTGATGAATGAAACCATCCCAATGATAGTCCACTTGCGTCCGGAGCTCCAGTTCATTGGATTTTTGGGGTCTTCACTGGCTGGCTCCTCCCAGAAGACATCATACTCGGATGCATTTGTGGCGTGCTCTTTGCTGGGCTTTTCATCTGTCAGTCCGACAGACTGTTCTTCAGGATCGGACGACTTTGAATCCATGTTGAGAGCACTGAGAGTATAAGCCTACCCTCATGGCTCTTTGGCGTGCGCCGATGGGCTTTTGAATGAAATCAAGTCCGTCCTATGCATGAGATGCATAAATTTCACGGGATTCTTCATATCCGTGCGCCTATCAAAAGGGATCCCGACTGATCATGCACATAAATGGGATCCCACCGCGTGTTTTGGTCCAGGGAAGGGGGTTCGTATTCGTACCTTTCGTAGCGCCCATTGGACGTTGCATGGACTGGAGGGATCTGAAGTTGATCGACATCGGGTTCGGGTTCGGGTTCGGATGTTCAACCCCTAAACGATCCCCATTGGCGCTAGGATGTTGAACCAATCAACAAAACTTCGTGCATGTTTGAAGTTGACACTTCTACAGGGATATCAACCGTCATGTCGATCAACATGAGAAACCTAGGTTCGGATGAGGACCTGCACATATAAGACAGATACCACACGTCGCATTGGACTGCCTTACTGAAGTGATTTTCTGCGAGGGAACAACGGAGCAAAATGGGGATTATCTTTAACGTACAGCATGCGCTAGTGACGGGAATCTTTACGGTACATTATGTGATGCCTTTGATGATTTCTTTTCTAACAAATCTAGGCGATATTATATCTTGCCTCTAAAGTGATTTACAATGTGTACTTCCACCCCTTGAGCCGGTTTCCGGGGCCGCTGGAACATAGAATATCACGACTGGCATATGTCTACCGGTCTATTCGCGGAACTCTTCCTTTCGACATGCTGAAAATGCATAAGCAGTATGGCGACATTGTCCGTATTGCGCCGGATGAACTGGCCTTCTCGCACCCCGATGCCTGGCAAGATATTATGGGCCACCAGAAAGGACAAGCTGAGTTCTCAAAGGCAACATGGTTCTACCGTCCAGTCGAGGACCAACCGCCACATGTGGTCAACGAAAGCAGGGAACAACATGGGCGTCTCCGCCGGCAAATGGCTCATGGTTTCTCTGAAAAGGCAATGCGAGAGCAGGAGCCAATGATCCGTGCCTATGTTGATATGCTGCTTGACCGATTACATGACTTTTGCAAGTCTCGTAAAACGGTCATTCTTTCCGATTGGTACAACTATACCACTTTCGACATTATTGGAGACCTGGCATTTGGTGAGCCGTTTGGTTGTCTTCAAGGATCAAACCTTGATGGATGGATCAAGGGAATTTTCGACGCTGGTCGACTTGGCATCATATTGCAAGCACTCTCGTTCTATCCACTCGTGAAGCGAACTCTATTATCAATGGTGCCTGCGTCAATGAAAGAGGCTCACGAGAAACACAAAAAGCTCACTGAAGAGAAGATGATACGACGGATGGAAAAGGAAGAGGGTCGACCCGATTTGATTGAGGGACTTTTGAGAAAAAGGGAGGAGCTGGTAAGTCCTCAACTGTTCTCGTCAAGAATCAGGATTGACCTTTTCAGAACCTGAGTATCGATGAACTCATTGCAAATGCTGAAATTCTCATCATCGGTGGTTCCGAAACCACAGCCTCATTATTAAGCGGAGCCACATACCTCATCCTAACGAACCCAGCTGCCTATAAGAAGTTGAAGGAGGAAGTGCGTACTGTCTTTCAAAGCCCGGAAGAGATCAACCTGATCTCTGTTAACAAGTTGCCCTACATGCTTGCATGTCTCGACGAGGCAATGCGCATGTATCCACCGATTGCGAACGGCCTACCCCGTATGTGTCCTGAGGGGGGTGCGAAAGTCTTGGGTGAATATGTTCCGGCAAACGTATGTCTCATGTAAATACGAAATCTCGATCCCTGCTAACGGTGTTTGTCAAGACTTACGTTTCGGTTCATCAATGGGCACTTTATCGGCGCGAAGAGTATTTCAAGGATCCTAACTCATACCACCCAGAGAGATTTCTGGGGGATCCGTCATTTGCTGACGATCGCCGAGAGGTATTACAACCATTCCATATTGGGCCCAGAAATTGTCTTGGAAGAAAGTGAGTATTGACCTAGATTACCAATGGAAGTAACAGAGAATACTGACGGGCTTGCTTTAGTCTTGCATATAGCGAGATGCGTCTCATTCTTGCCTTGATTATATTCAACTTTGATATCGAGATTGCCGACGAAGCCCGGGATTGGATCAATCAGAGGAACTACCTGATGTGGGAAAAGGGCCCATTGAAGGTTCATTTAACTAAGGCGTAAGCTTATTTATGAGGTCTACAGTATATCAATACATTTGATGACACCCATTCCTCTACACAATTTGAAATGCTAGGTCAAATTCTCGAGTCGAGTTTTTGATGCTTAATCATGAATCCCCGATGCGTAAATCCTCCATAGTCTACTTTTCTATGTTCATCGAATTATCACATCACTGGGAGGATAACTCAAAAAGACCCCCAAAGCCTGCTTAAAGGGGCCCATACAAAGGGTCGAGTCTTTAGATAGGAAAGTCTGAAGTGGCGCAGTGGCAGTAATCGACTACCGTAAATGTTATGTAGGCGCTTCCACGACGCCGAGGTCAGCCGCATTTCTCGTATTCAGCCCCCTAAAAATGGGCTCGTCTCTTAAAACTTCATCAGGGCTATTTTTCTGGACTCGACTTGAATATCTATTTGTCGCCATAAAAGGGCGCCAATCCATTGACTATGGCAGGAAATACCAGCTCTATACAAATACTATCATGCGACGACAGCCCCCTTTCGACAACGGGCAACATTATCGGGATCCTGACACTGGCTTACGCGATATTAGTCACTGTCGTACTTTACACAAATCGCATACTGGATGCTGAAAAAGACATGCGAGATTTTTCACATCGGTTTCTTGATGAATTTGCGGCGTTCGAGTCTGTTGCAAATTGGCTCCAAAGCGTTTCACACCTGATCCCCGAAGAGCTACAATCCGAAGCTAGCCAGAGTCAACAATATCATCATCTAGGTAGCTTGGCACAGAAAGTCAGAGCAGATCTAGCCCAAAACGACCGGCTTCCCCTGTGGGTACTACTGAGTCGACGGGGCTACTTTCTAGCCCAGAAAGTTGAGGCGGAGGAGAAGCTGAAACAGATTGTTCAATTGAGAAAGAAAAGGCAGATGTTTTGTTTAAGGGTTACTCAAGCGTATGTGGTCTGGTTATTGTCATGGCGTGAGGTCTATGTCTAATGCACAATCATGCTAGCATTATAATCAAGCAGACTGGAGAGCAACATGACAGAATGTATCTGCAAAGAGAAATAATGCGCCTTCAGGATGCTTTGATCTATCAGCTGAAGTTACCGCGAGCGTCATCTGGGGATGACAATGCTCACGAGACTGCACCTACAGGGTAATTAGATTTCTTAGGGTTGAGCATGGATGCGCGGATGAGAATATTAAAGTAATTGATTGTCCATATTAAGTCCTGCTTGTACAATGGAAATCCCACACCTGTTCTTCTAAGGCACATATCAGTCATAGCATCATGTACGCCATTTTGAACAAAGAAAGTAGATGCAAAGTAGATGCGAGCCCCGAACAGGAAACCCAAAGCCCATGTCTCCCAAACGCTCAAAAAGAATCAAACTTCGTAAGGCATATATATGGGTATTTTTTTCTGGGTCATGCAACGTATAATATCAATCATGGATCTCATCAAAGAACAAAAACAAAAACAAAATTCCAAACGTAGAGATAAGATGAACCATGGGGTCGTTCGATTACACACTTGCCGTGCGTCGTGGAACCTCACTGGGCTTCTGAGCGTATGCAATGAACATGCGGAACCCGGTGCCACGCTTTTGGCATTCGCGAAGTACCTTGCGGTTATTCCAAATGCTCGGATCCTGGGTATTTCCATTCGAGAAAACCGGATCCTCGTAACATTTCGAATACCACCAGCGTCCGACGCGGGCCACAATCTTAGCGATAGACTCATCATTTGCCGGCGATGGGGAAGGATCGGAGAGCAAATCACCGAGAGAGATATTCGCATCATTTGATGGTGATTTCGAAGCAGTTTCCGTGCTTTGGCTACCACTTGCAGTTGTCACAGATATGGTAGGCAATGAGAATGCAGTGGAAGGGGTAGCCGTTGAGATAGAGTGTGCTGATGAGCTAGAGTCGGATGACCGGACGACCATGCCTGCGACTGGAATCCGAACCATGCAGCGGCGGAGACTGTCGAAGCCTTGGGCGCCGAGCTCACGCTGAACGCTGTCGCTTGTTGGTTTTAGGCTGAGAGTCGGGTCTGAGAGACACGTTATTTCTTTGAGTTGACGAATGGCTTTTCGCGTGTGAGGTCCCATGTTAACCATGTCGCGGTCAAGGAGACTCATTTCGAGATACCCTCCAGTGCGGAGAACACGTTTGCATTCTTGAATTATGTTGCCTTGGACGGTCTCGGAGCAGACAGTAGGAAACCGGAGCACGACGACTGTGAAATAGTCCTTTGGGAAGGGAAGAGGGTTTCCCAGCCCTGCGTGATACACCGTGTGATGGTTGGTAGGAGGCTGCCATGCAGCGGGGTGGGGAGGTGCCGTGGATACAGGACGTCCGCCCAGGCTATATACCTCTGCATCAGGATACGTGAGAGAACAGTAGAAAGACCAGTCATCATTTCCCAGTCCATCGACCACAAGAATCCGTCCTTGTCCTCCGGGTTTGACGTGATTATGCGCTGGGCTGAAAAGGACTCGGCCAAAAGACAACCAGCGACTAGTCATGAGCGAAGCAGAACGCATGTTAGTCCGTGTCACTGCGTCCCACTCACGTTCCGAAGATGAGGTTTCTTGTTCTCGGTAAAACTTTGGCCTAGGCGAAGGGACAGCAGCAAGGGAGTTGAGAAACGTAGACTGCTGTTCACGTCGCTGATCTTTTGAAGAAGGCTGCTCAGTAGGATTGGCGGTCTGCTTCTGTTTGGATTTCTCCTTATCTGACCCTCTATATCCAGCAACAAGATCACTGTAAGACGGTTGAGATGAAGGAGCGGTAGACGACTGCAAAGCAGAGACTATCTGAGAACGACGAAGATGAACAGAGCTTCCACTCGAGCGGACTGAACTGCCGCCAGGTCCTGGCTGGGGAGGATTAGCATTGTTTAACTCGTCCTGCAGAGCCCTGCTCGCCATTGTGGCAAGTTCAAATCTGCCCTCCTCTTCAGTCTTTGTCGGCTGCTCAGGCTTGGGTTTGTCTGGCGACAAAACATGATCAATAAGGTCATTATACTCATTCCACACCTCATCCTCGGTCGGTGGAGAACCTGGAACGGGGGCTACGGCTGTAACCGCAGCCAGAGCCCCAGAGCTATCTGATGAGGTTGAGCCTTTCTTTGGCGCAAATTGAAGGAACTCATAGGTTGTAAAAGGCCCAGCAAGAAACTCCAAAGCACTGGTCTGCTCGGAAGCGCTAAAAGTCGAGTTGAACCCATAGCCCCAGTCAAAGGACTCGTTCGGAGCAATTCCCAGATTCAAGGGAACTTCAGCGATAGGTGGAGATTCGTATGAGCTTTGTGTCGTTGAAATTGTGAGAGAGGGAGATTCAACAACACTGAATGGACGAGAGAAAGACTGCATGGCGGGCTGGTGGTGTCTATCGCGCCGTGAAACTACTGGTGGAATCCGACCGATAGATGCCAAACGTCTTGGACGTCGCTCGGGTGATATCTCAGTTTCCGGTGCCATCAGGTTGCGGTTGAACATGGCGGTCCTCGGCGACGGACGATCATCATTTTCAAACTCGCCATGCATCTTTGGCGGAGATGGCAGCAGGATCGACGGCTTTCTTTTTCTGATGCTCAATCCTCTTGGAATTTCCACCGGATGGAAAATCGTATCCTCCTCTGTTGGTGGTGAATCTTCGATGTTATTGATGATATCATCGAGCTCGTCCGAATCGGCATCCACCAAGGCGTAATGGGCAATGGGCCGACTGTTCACAATCGGGGAAATCGCCGCATGAAGCTTCGCAGTCTGGGATGAGCTCGTCGGAGGAATTGAAATCTTCTGTTCGTTGCCACGATTCTTCTGGAAGAAGTTCCACATTGATGTCTTTTCTTTCTTAGCCTGCTTCTGAGCCTGTTCAGGCTTGAGCATTTTTTCGGGAGATTTTTGGACGCTTTTCTGTTGCTGTGAGGTGGCAGTGCTTGGCTCGTGGCTAGGAAAAGATGCGTTTGTGACAGCAGCCTGGGGGTTTGCAAACATGGCATGTCTCTTCCCTTTGGGGACGGGCATACGTGACTTCAATGCATTTGGACGCTCACTCGCGTTAAATAGCAATTCGGGGCTTGTGCTTCTCATCGGTCCGTTGCCATTAGAATAACTCAGTGTAATAGTCTCACCGAATGTCCCCGTTGAAGTCGCAAGGGATTCAGTAGACTGGCCAGTCGAGTATGATGACAGAATTTGCCGCGGCAGGTTCGAGGTCGACGCAATGCTCACACTACTGAAACTCTGCTCGCTTTGTGTTCGTGACAGCGATGCACCATCTAGTCCACCGCCATTGATAATGACAGGCTCCAGGCGGCTCAATAAAAAATCGTCAATGTCCAACTCCGGGCGACTCGATTGACTCCCTTTACTAGCGGCACTTCGTGTCGTGCTTGTTGATCTGGTTCTTGTCCCGCTACTACTACTACCGCTTGCTTTGCGACCACGCTGTCCGTATTTTCCGTAGCCCTCATGACCCGTTCCCGCGGCTGGACCTTTTCGAATGGCTCGAGTTTGCTCCGTCAGATTCTCTGATATATCCGGCTTGGACTTCTTCGTAAACAGACCGAACCGTTTTTGTGTTGGTTTTGAATCCGGCTTCTCGTGAGAAGTCACCTTGGTCAATGTCCGAGGTGGCTTTTTGGACAGGACCGGAGAGACACCATCCCGAGAAGGGACTTGAGAGATGCTTCTTGATTGCAGGGAGTCGATTGATGCAGCGGCAGACTGGCTAGGACTTGGATGTAGCTGCTGTGTTGCTAGGACCTTTTCTATCGACTCGCGTCTTGTATGGCCCGTTGTCCTAATATACCGCAGATTGCTTTGAACAATCGGAGATGTTTCAAGTTGTAAGCGATGCGTTCCATCTCGGCTGGGTCGTGGTGGAGTGTGTGGTATCGTCGCATTCCGTGTGGGGGAACATTCCATCGCCTTCAGAGGCTCAAATAGACGCCTCTCGGCTTCCTCGACTTCCCTGCGAGCCTGCTCAACGTCGATTTCGCTGGCTTTTGGAGGGCTGAAATTGACTGATGACTTCCTTGGTGGCGGGCTGTGAGGTGGCCCTCGGGGTATTGTGGAGGGGCCTTTAGACGGTGATACTCGCTGGCCTTTGCTGTGTTCTATTGGGCTTGCGCTGGCAGGTTTCGTAAGAAGTAATCGCTTTTGAGTTTTCAGCTCCGGCTTCTCTTGCTGAGAGCCTGCATGTGGCGGCGGAGGAGAAAAAACAGGCAATCTTGTTTGTGAGGGGCTGGGTTGTCTCAAACGTCCAATCTTTGTGATACCGGGAGAATACGATGATAATGATGTTGGGGTAGATCCGCGACTCCAAATACTCGGAGACTCCGAGTATCTTGTCGAGGGACTGCTTGACATCAAGAAAGGAGTGGGAAGTGCTGGGTAAGTTTGTGTATCAACTGACGTTCGAAGACTTGCCAGCTCTTCCGGTCCATTGAATCTAGGCCTCACCAAGTTAACCGCCGCATTAATGTCATTCTCGTGGGTTGATTTGTAAGAGGAAGCCGATTGTGCTGAAAGTGAGGATGTCGAATTTCCCTGTCCCGACACATTGTTCATAACGATAAAATTTTGAGACTCTTGCGGAATAACAAGGCTAAGCTTGTCAGAGTGCAATTGCTCCACATGTTTCCCTATTGTCGGTGCCCTCCTTCGAAGAACATTCCGTGTTCGTTTTGGTGGGGGCAACTGTTGTCCAGCAACGAAAAGTGAGGGTTTATTGATCTCCGGATTTGAAAGCAAGGAGGGAGTCGTCTGAGTACAATTCCGAGGAGAGGAAGCCGACACTGGCGTGATTGGAGATGTTGTGCTACCAATACTGGGGCGCGGGAGCATGGACAGGCGGTTTCCACGACTGGTAGATCTCTTGGTAACCGAAGGCACTGGCAACGGGGCGGTATCTTCGGCATCTGATACTGACGGGGTTCTGTTTCTAGAGGTGTGGTTGACTGGTCTCGCAATTTGGGATCTCGGAGGTCGGCTATAAGCACCAGCATTGGTATGTGATAAATTTGAAGAAGCATCGTGTGGCATGTGATGACTAGAACTGTACGACATGGCGTACGGATGAGTGAGCACCCCGGCTCCAATCCAGGGACAAATGATTAAACGGTGGGCACATGTACTTCGTTATGGTAACCATCACGTCGTTATGGGGGTATCAAGCTGTCTGAGTTAATCAGCTCATCGGTCCAACTTCATATTCAGGATGTAAGCTCACAGTCTCTGAGTCATGCCAAAGGAAAATATCAATATTGTTGGCGCCTAGCGCTTGACAGTGTATAGAATTAAGTAAAAGTAGATAAAATTCGCAAAAAAAAAAAAAACAAAACAGCCAAACAAACTAGGGTATCTCAAAGTTGCACAACTAGAAAGTGTCAATAGACATTGCAAGGATGTTAACTATAAAAGAAAAGAAAAAAGTACACTCACAAACGTCAGTAGATAAACGAGAGTAAAGTCGACTGTGGATCGCCTTCAAGCTGCAGCTGCTTCGCCACAGTCCGGAGCAATGTGGCGTTGAATGCCAGGGTCGTTTTCCAGCCTTGGCCACGTCAGAGGTAAAATCCGGCTGAAGTAGACAAAAATAAATTGTAACGTTGTCAAAACGAAAACACCCAGGGGAATTTCCGAGGTGCCAGGGATTTATGTGTTGAGGTTGCCCCTCGGATGTGGGGGGAAATATCTCGAAGCCGCAATGACCATGTAGAAAGTCCGTAGCCAGCGATCTTATTGGCAAGAAAGTGATGTGACTACTGTGACAAGGCGGGAAGGAATCAAGACTGCGCAGACCTAGAGCCTGTCAAAAGGATCAGTCCGTCGCGAAAGTTGCGCGGTGCTTCTGAGGCGATCCCCATCGTAAAGTCAAAATAGAATTCTACAAAAATAACTAAGGAGATTTCCCAGTGGCCAGATCAAGAGGACTGCGCGCACCGAAGCCCACATAGGAAGGGAAATACCGGTCCACTCAAGGATTCTCCCAGCAGTGACTTGTCGTTGGCTGTGCTTGGACGGTATCGGCTCACGGCGGTAAAGGTATTAGGGCCGGACACAACGTGACAGGCTATGGTACAACCCGTGGCGTAGGAGCCCTGGCTAACCGTGCAGTTGATAAAAAAGAGACCTACAAGGACTAACTTGATTCGCATATCAGGTCAGCTGTATACTCATGCTGAGCCCCTGATTAGAACTGTACATCGATAACTCGTATTGACAACCAGTCTGGTTATCGCGTCTCTCGCCTCTTAACAACGCATTCGGAGACGCCGAACACCTCGAACGCAAAGTGTGAAATGATCGACGCGGTTTTTTTTTTTTTTTCCTTTTTTAGCATTTTGCAACTGCAGCCTTTCCCGGGGATTCGGAGAATTTCCCAACGGGGTCTTGAAGGACCATGCATATGCATTGTAACATGCTTCATGTGTCCCGAAATGATCGTAAATTCATTTCTCATATGTTTCCGTACATGAGACGTATCAAGTCTCATACTTGGAAGATTTCCAACGGTCATAGTCCATGGTTTGGTACAGAGGCCCGTTTGGTACAGAGGCCCGTCCCGAACCCTTCGGGGAAAATCCTTCCAATCATCGATAGGTCAGTTTAAAAGCGCAGGGGCTTTAATGTTGAGTCTAACGCCTGGACCTGTACCGTCCCACGAGCCAGTGACTATCCGTTGAGAGCATTTGGGGGCTTGGGGGGGGTTTCATTGTTCAAGGGAGCCTCGAGACAGTGGAGCCCGCTAGTCACTGGGCTGTGATGGTCCACTGTATGATCGAGCAATGAACAAGCCCTATACGATAATCGAATGTTAGCTCGCAGCCAAATTCTACAAAAAAGCAAGTTCTGGGCTGTGATTCGTGGGGAGGGTCACTGATCTAAGTGGGGAGAGGGCGGTAATCCGGGCAATAGGAATAACAACAGTATTGACCAGTGTACTGTGTGTTATAGGTTGCAATTGTAGCACTGCATGTACTCTGTACTTCATGCGGAGTCCTCTCAGACTCTCAAGAATAAGTAAAGGTGAGTTTGAGGCCCCACAATCACGAGGCCTATCCTCGCATAGTGAGTTGAGTGGGCGTACTGGTTGACGCCCATGCTGCAGGAACAAGCGACTAATGCACCCTTCAGCTGACTTTGCACGCAGTCAACCCGGAGCCAGGGAATTGGTTGGGGCCGAGGACTTCAACTCTGAGATTGGTGATTGAATATGGGAGACAGGAAAATCGATAAATTGAGCAATCTCGCTTTTTCTTACACATCTAGCAAGCCCAGGTGTGACTTCCTTGGAACCTTAGGGCTTTAGGGTTTTGACATATGGACATATAGACAGCATTACTTCCTCTACAAATACCAAAATTTATACACTTATACATTTTCATTGAGACATATATTAAAACAGATCGAATGGAATGACCCTAAAATTGTCCCGCAGCATATCAACACACAAACGCCCATGATGAAAGAACAAGAGATGGAACCGAAGACCAAGTCAAATACCAGACAAAGCAAACTATTGGAAACATTTAAGCAGCGGCTGCAAACCGCTTCTTGCGAGCCTCCATGGCCGCATTATCCTTCTCACTCCAAGACTTCTGCGCAGTGTTCCCACCGGCATTAGGCTTCTTCACCCCAGCATTGGTCTTATTCCCATCGCCACGGTTGCGGTTTCCATCACCCCGTTGACGATTGTTGCGGTTGCGTCCAGTGTCACGTCTCTTGCCTCCACGACCACCCTGGTCATTGCGAGAGTCGGTGCGGGCATCATTACGTCTCTTGCGGGGGCGCTCATCAGGAAGTGCCTGGTCAAGGCGACTTACACCAGCAGCGGGTGTAGAGCCAGCCTCGGCGCCAGTACCGAATCGCTTAGCGCGCTCCAGCTGCTTCGTAGCCTCCTTCAATGCTGTGTCCTCATCCTCAACGATACCAAACTTCTGTGCGCGAGCCTTGCGCTTCTCAAGCTCCGCCTCCAGATCGGTCTGAGGCAGTCCTCGTGTGTAGTCGACGGCGGGCTTCGGCTCAGTCACGGCTTCGGGCTGGGTGCTTGGTTCAGCGACGGCGCCGGTCGCCTCGACCTTCAAGTCATCAGTTGTGGCGGGGTTTTCATCGAGCTGCTGGTTCGGGACAGCGACAGGGTTTGTAACTGCGCCCTGGCCACCAGCGGCAATCGCAGCTGCGCCGGCTTCTGTAGATGGCTCGATAATTGTCTCTGCGGGTTCGTCGTCCCAGTCAATGACATCCTCGGCGGCGTCGGTCTTGGCTGCGGCAGGAGCTGCGGCAGGAGCGTCGGATGGATTGCTCTCGTCGTGTTCCTGGAGGCGCGAGACCATGTCGGCCTTTTTTCCAGTGTGAGGAAGAGAGCGGGTTTTAAGGATCTCAACCAACTCGGCGTTGGTCTTCTTGCTGTAGTCGGTGGCCATTTTGCGATCGGAGGTGGGTAGTGTGCAATTTGTGAAGGGAGAGACAGTAAAAGTAGAAAGAATTGTGATGATAATCAGATGTTTAATACTCACTGCAGACCAAATAATATGCTGCGTGATGGACAAAGGAATGGAAGTTGGCTGAAGGAGAGCTCGACGCGGTCTTACCCAGTGGAGGTCCCCAGGTGCAATTACAACAATTACATAAGCAATTTAGAATGATCCCATTGGCCAGACAACAAAGCCACCTGGTCCACCTCTTCTTGAAGCTTCTCGACCATTTACTGGGAGATATCAAATTCCCTCAACTCCCTACATCCCATGTCTTGTTGGTATGAGTCTAACCCGAATTATCTAACGAGGGCATTCTTTCATCTTTGCTTTTTTGAAGTAGCCGTGATCTGCCGATCGTTCTGATTGGGATTCTTCTTTCTCCAACCTGGTTTCTCTATCTTAAATTCAGGCGAGAACAAAGAGCTCGTCAATGACGCGGGCGCTTCAATCTCCGAATCAGAGGTTGACAGCTGTACAAGTATGCATTGACTAGACTTGTTTGGTGAAATATGGGAGCCTGCATGTACTGCGCCACAATAGAAGCATACACCACGCCACCGTGGTTCCTCAGGCATCGGACGAACTATAGGCTGATGTTATGCCACGGCTTAGTGTCAAGAGTATGGAGTACGAAGCAGAGAGAGTAAACATGACCCAGCCCAGGGTGTGTCCGTGTGAATATTTTGTCACTTTTGCTGCATCACCCCAATGATGGCTGTAACAGCCTGTCAGTGTTGAGGTGGATATGTTGCCAGTGAGGCCATACCGAAAGCAAGTTTCAGATGTCCTTGAGGTGTCCCAAGTATTCTATGATGTTTAATATAAGCTCGATCGGGAGAAACACGTCACTGGTTTGGAAAGTAACCTGTGATCGTCGGCAGATTATATGTGTATGTACGGAGGGTTGCGACGGAGGCTTGAAAGTAAACTGTAAACAAAGTCGAGCCAATCCAGCATCGCAGGGCAGAAATAGCTTCGACCAACACCGGCTGTGCGTACATAGTAAGCTGTGGCTTATACATTGCACGCACGAAGATATACAAGTTATTTTTGATCAACTCGATCTCGAGAATTCGACTCACGAGCTGCCAGCATCTTTTGTCTCGGAAATTCACTCCTCGAGGAGAAAAGATTCGGAATCCAAGGGGCTTCCTGACTAGATCCTAGACTATCGCTTCGGTGATTCCACAAAATCATGTCGTTTTCATCCCATGGGAGGACCATTTGATGTATCGGTAGAAGCTCGCCGATCCCAAATAGACGGAATCTGAGCCCGTGGTCAATAACACTGAAGCCGCGTCCAAGGCTAGAACGAATGATGTATGATCAGGTTCCTGCAAATAAGACTTTCGAGCTCGAAACATGCTAGGCCATGCCCACATCTCAAGGAAGTTTATGTCACACAGCTCCGTTGGACTTCCGCAGGTCCATGAGCACTGCTATGTGGTGAGAAAACATTCAGGTCTGTCGATGATCAATGAAATAGAGGCTGGAGACAGGACTGGGGGATATAAATTCTGTCGTCTACAAATTTTTGAGGCAATGGATAGAGCTCGGGGGTTTGATAGAAATCGACAGGTTCTAACACGCAAGGACGCAGTTCTCCTCCAATTCTAGTTTTTTTTTGTTGCGATAGTATGATGGTAAGTGCAGCCAAGCCTTGAAGGGCCCATGAGGTGAGTGTTCCTGCCGTAAACATATATTCAGTCAGTCAGAAGTTATACATAGAAAAGTCGCTTGCACAGAGTATGCTCTTTCCGCCTTTTTCTGCCGCCTTGAATAGCCTGGAAAGGGGAGACCTATTTTATAGATATCTAAGAAAAAATGGGAAGCCCACTGTGAAGGCTATTGGAAGACTGCTGAAAAGCCCACTAAAAAGCCCTGTAAGAAAGACATCATAAGGCCGCAGAAGCGGCCGTCTACGCTTGTATATATATACATGGGGACGTGGATAATTGTTGGAAAGCTTACAGGGTAAATGATAGCAGAACTTTGATTGGCCACGAAAATGGTGAGCTTCTCAGACTGCATTTCATAGTGGCTACTTCGTGATCAAATGTTATACCTCTGGATATGGAAAGAACGTTTTGCGCGTTTTGAACTGTTTTTACCCGAGAAGACATCTCAACGGGACTACGACGAAGACTTGACAAGGTCGCATACGCGGCCAGATATTCTTGTGAATGAAGCATTACAAGATACTCTTGAATGTGAACAACTGGGTGCAGTTTTGTGGGTTTTTTTGAGCCTTTTTATTTGAAGTATGAGGCAATTTCAAACATGGATTATCATGGAAAATGCCTCTTTGGTCCTTCTCGTGGCTCTCGTGATATCTCATTTCTGTCCATTCTTCAAGAAGAATGGTCCTCGCCGGAAAAAGAGCCGGCCAATCTTCCTATGTTCACCATCCCCTTTGTCAAATCTCATCTTAAATTCCACCCCAGTCACCAGAAATTCAGCGAAACAGTCCGAGTAGGCGTCCGTCCACTCCATCCAGCCCTCCAACCCTTGCTTGATCATAAAATCGCCCATGTTCTGCTCAGCACCGTTGTCTGGCTGTGCCACCCATTCAAAAAGCTTCAGGTTTGGGATCATCATGGCCCAGAAAGAAATGTCGGGTGGGTTCAGTTCCCCGGTAAAACATGGGCCGGGAGAGATGGCGAGAATGAACCGGATTCGCTGGAGATTCTCTTTGCTGAATGTTTTCTTAATCGTAGCTTCACCTCCTTTATTCAGGTAGACTTCGAACAAGTTTTGGCCGTATAGGATGTCCAGGCATTCATCGCTCATTCGTTTGGAAACATGTAGAATGTTGGTCCAGAGAGGTTGAGTGTTGGCGAACCTGTCGCTTGTGGGGGATGGATCGCGAGTAGAAACCAAAGGCTCGACGCCGTAGGGCCGGTACATGGCGTTTGTCACTTTGATGGCACATTTTCGGGGGATGCAATAGCCAAAGATATCCAGACGTATCTCGGCCGGTAAGGTGAACAGTAGAGGTGTTGCGAAACCTGGAATCAGTCGCTCAGACTGGTACCCTAGTGGAGTCTCCATTGATGCTGGACTGACAAGGCGAGATTCAGTTCTTTCCGCATGCATCTAGGCCAAATGCGAGAAACTTTCATATTTAGTATCGTCACTCAACGTTTTATAGTGTACATCATACCTCATCAGTGGGATCAGACCCGTGATCAATCCCGAGATAGATCAGCGACTGGCGGCAGTCTTCAGGTGATATTGAAGATGGCACAGATAGCAGCAACTTAATAGGTCTCATCGAAGATATGAGGGATAGTAAGGGCCTCAGTTGACGGCTCGGCCAATCGTAGCTTGGATGTTGTGGAAAACAACGCAAACTGATCTGTGAAAAAAAGAAAATAAGCACGATCGACTGAGTTATCTGAGGATGATCAGTATTCTCGTGAGAAGCAAACAGTCCATATTTTGAGTCGACGACCTGAGGCACTTGCCACACGTTGCCCCCAAGGCTCCGATGTATGAGGCTAAAACAAAACATTTACCAGGGCAAGAGTGACGAGCTTCTCCGACAATACGCAGCTATAAAGTCTAGCGAGCTCAGTCTGTTCGAGCTTATGTAGGTACATGTAGGTACATGCAGGTACAGGTCCGTGAAAACAAATTATCATGGCGTCATTCATGGCGTCCAACCGCATTTTAAATGGCTGACTTAGGGTCAAATTTTCTAAGGATCTATATTCTCTTTGGAATCTATATATAACCGCTTGTGCTGCTCCAAAAGAATGAGAGTTGCCATAGTCTGTGGCCCCAGCCGAACAAACCAGGTGTCCACCCTCGAGAGACCCATCCCATTCCCAGTGTGGTAGTAGTGAGATCCTTGATAACATACAATACCCCATGCTTGCTTGATGAGGCCCATCAACTAAGTCTTGATTACATCAATTGGACTGCACACTGTTGTAGCAACCAGTGCCGCCAAGAAAGACGCCGATAAATGCAAACCAGGATGATCGTCATGAATCCCAGTGGTTACTACTATCAGATTTCTAAAACTATCATACGATGCAAGCTGACAGCTAGTCATCATACCACAGCGGCAAGCATTCGGCCACAATCCCTGTCCAAAGGCCTTCCATCCCTCCTGGCGCTTGATCTGTCTCCATGCATCGAAGATGTGCCGGTAATTGCGACGAAGGTGAGGAGGCAGTGAACCGTCGTTTTGCATGGGGATGTTGGCTAGATCTGAGGAATTGCCAACTATCGCACCAATGAATCCAGAAATTCCTGCCAATAAGCCAATAACTGGCGGGGAGGTGGGAGTGTTGTTCGCTTTGGTTTGTTCTCTTAATGTCTCGTAGAGGCCGATACGGACTGAGCCATATGTTACTACCGAATCGGTTAGTGTCTACTGGGATTGGTAGAAGAGATGGAATAGTTAGGTAGACTAACACTGCCTCATAAGCCCTGCAGAAAGCTTCAAAGTATCAGTATCTCATCAAAATCACCGTTGCTTTTCATCAGACATAGCCCGTTTTAGAGTGCAAATACGCCCTCTCCCCGAACAATTCGAACGCAGGTATTGAGTGTCCCGGCTTTCGTGCCACTATGCTTTATTTGTATTCTGACCTTGACTGTGATTGATCAATCAAAACTGTGTCCTTCAGAATGTAATAACTGAACTCACTCAGGCCCAAAGGGTGAGAAACAAGGACTGCCATGCATGATGCAGAACCGCCGAACCATTTGGGATATATAATGGAATGAGAGATGTCCATTGGTTTGCTCATGTTGAGCATTTTATTTAGAATTCACTTTGTTTCCAAGATAGTGAAGAATCATTGGATGTTTTTGTACCTTGCATAGTGCCATATAGCCGATTTGGAGATCATCACAAAGCCAGACTCGGTGCGGGGGTTATTTAAGGTGGAATGGGCGATTATAATTGCATTTGCCTGGGTAGTTCTCTGGAGACTCTTCGTTTCCGATATATGAAGACAGGGGTTCAGCTGTCGGAACCAAGGCTGCGTTGGAGTTGTCAAAATAACGTCGCATAGAGAGAGGTCATGAAGAGGCATCTGAAAGTTCGCGCAGTTTTCGCAACAAGGTCAGACTGAATGAATACTCAGGTAGAAAGGTCAAACCCGAGCAATCCGACATCTAGACATGTGTGGCAAATAAGCCTGTCATGGGCATGACGCCTAGACGGTTGGGGTGATAGAAGCGTCGAGTCCGGACTCCTTGTTTCCAAGACCTGGAGCCATGACCTTGGCAGACTACATACAAAAACAGACAGTTTGTTGTATACTACGCTGGAGAAAACAGACAGAGAGGTTGCTATGGCGAAGGCGACAGAGCACAATACTTTGTGCGTGACGAGGTTGATCGCCTACGGCAACAAGCACATCCACGCCCCAGCATAGTAAACAAGGGCTCTGTGTCTATTACTATAGTAGGTTCAAGGCACATCTTCTCCAAACGCCCGGACAAGCCGAACAATTGATGAAAAAGGGAGTTCGCGTCGATCGGGGGTAGTGTGAGCCCAATGACACTGTGCGACGAGGCATGCGCAAGCACAGGGGCCAAGTCGCGGGGTCCAAAAATAGGAATAATCAAAGTGTTTCCTGGACGGAAACTTTCAGAGATTAAACTGAAAAGAACAGATACTACACTTGATCTAAGCCAATAGGCAAAGAGAGCTGAAGAAGAAAGAAAAGAAGAGCAAGTTCTGGGGGACGAAGGGCCTTTATATATCTCCAGGGCGGTGTATGTTTTGCCTCACTGGCAAACAAGCAAACAACATTGGGATGATGCAAGGGATACCCCATGGATGACCAAGTAATATCATTGTAGGGACATCTCGTGGTTTCTCTATGTATCTAACTCATTGGTTTGTACGGAATATAGGTATTCTAGTAATAGATATTTATGTAAAGGTACCAGTATCCAAAATTCAGGCTTGAACTCAGGTTGGGTGGGCTTATGGATAATATCCCTACATTGAGAAAGAAACAGCTCACAGAAGAATCAGATGTTCACTATACACAGGGCTTGTCTGAAGCAGTAAAGGTAAAAAAAACAGACACACAAAGGAGAATGACAGGACATAATAGCACAACGCCATGGGAAGAAAACATGGAGCATTTGGTACACCCTAGCCAGCGTCGAAAGTTCTAGGGTTTATAGATCACATAAAGGAAATGGATGGTTCCTCTTTTCTGATTTTTCCCCTAGCACAGGCGAATCTAACCATCTAAAAGGGTGCCATAGGAAGGTTTTCTTCGGGTTTGGTTTTTCTTTTTTATTATTGCGTTGCCAATATCGTTTACCGGTCAACTTCACCGAACACAAGATCCATAGTACCTAAAGGTTCGATGTTAGAACTGAAATGAAAGAAGACAAGGGATCAAGGACTTACCAATAATTGCGACAGCATCGGCGAGCAGGTGACCACGAGACACCTGATCAAAGCCACCCAGGTGGGCGAAACCAGGAGCACGGATCTTGCAGCGGTATGGCCGCTCACTGCCATCACTGACCAGGAAGACACCCATTTCACCCTTGGGGGCCTCGATGGCAGAGTAAGTCTCACCAGGAGGAACGGAGTAACCCTTGGTGAAGAGAAGGAAGTGGTGAATGAGAGCTTCCATGTTCTCCTTCATGGCGGCACGGGGAGGGGGTGAGATCTTGTAGTCCTCCACGCGGACCGGACCGGCGGGCATCTTGTTCAGGCACTGGTGGATGATACGGAGGGACTGACGGAACTCCTCCATACGGCAGAGGTAACGATCGTAGCAGTCACCGTTGACACCGACGGGAACATCGAACTCAACCTGGTCATAGGCATCGTACGGCTGCGACTTGCGGATATCATAGGGGACACCTGAGCCGCGGAGCATGACACCAGTGAAACTCATGTTGAGCGCATCGGTGGCGTTAACAACACCGACGCCCTGGGTTCTGGCCTTCCAGATACGGTTATCCGTGAGCAGCTCCTCGGTCTCGTCAATGCGGTCACCGAATTGAGTCGCCCACTGGTAGATGTCGTCTAAAAGACCAATGGGAATATCCTGCGACACACCACCGGGGCGAACGTAGGCAGCGTGGAGACGGGCACCGGAGACACGTTCGTAGAATTCCTAAAGCACCCGAAGTGTCAGTAAATAAGACCTACCCGTAGTTTGCTTTTCGCAGCTCTTAATCACTCACCATAAGCTTCTCACGCTCCTCGAAACCCCATAGGAAAGGAGTCAGGGCACCCACGTCCATTGCGTGGGACAGGACTGACATGAGGTGGTTCAGAACTCGAGTCATCTCGCCGAACAAGGTACGAATCCACTTGGCACGGTCAGGGATCTCGACGTTCAACAGCTTCTCAACGGCCAAAGAGAAACACTGCTCATTGGTCATCATGGAGACGTAATCCAATCGATCAAAGTAAGGCAGAGCCTGCATGTAGGTTTTGTACTCAATCAACTTCTCGGTACCACGGTGAAGCAAACCAACGTGGGGATCGGAGCGAACGATCTCTTCGCCATTGAGTTCCAGAATCAATCGGAGCACACCGTGAGCAGCGGGATGCTGAGGACCAAAGTTGACGGTGTAATGACGAATCTTGCGGTCGATCCCTTCGGCCTCGGATTCAAGGGCAGAAGCCTCGGGGTCCTCGGGAAGACCCTTGTTGGCGAGGGAAGTGAAGGTCGGGTCGGTCGGCACAAGCCGTGTGGCCTGGTAGCTAGCAGCCTCTGCATGACGGCGGGGAACAGAGGTGGCTATGGAGCGGGAACGAGGAATGGATGTGTTGAGCGAGGAGGGGCGGAGGCAGAGCCTTTTGGGCGCATTGCCCGCCAGGCGGGCGAAAGAAGCGGCCATAGAGGATAAAGAATTGGAGATCCAAGAGGGAAAAGAGGGGATATGATCCTCAGTCCAGGCGCATTCAATGGGTGGATATGGCTCGCTACGGATAGGGAACTCGCTGAAGGTCTCAAGTTGGGAGTCGCATTTTGGCTCGTCACGTGAAAAGCTGTCGGGTCATCAGCCGTGCGCTGGTTGGCTTGAAGGGGCCACTATACTGTGCTGGTACTGGATCCACACTTGGCCATTATCAGCTTAGCGTCATGCACTACTCGCATAAATGTGCACTTATGGATTATGTAACGCTGCATCCGCTGTGCAGAATAAAGTCCCTACTGCTGCCTCAGGCAAACTAGAAAATTGCTTCGAGAAATCTCTCTTATCGGTGGATCGCGGATTTTACCTTCAACCTCCACCAGACCCTATACAGTTGCTCACCATGGCGCCTCTTGTCCCCTCGCAGGAGGAGCTGCAGCGCCGCCGTGTATGTCTCTATCAATGATTTCATGCAGCTCAGAATGCTAATCGTTCCAGATCATCGGCATCAATCCGGAAACCGTCACCAATATCCCCTCTACAGATTTTCCTGGCCATTGGCCCGGAGAGTCGCATGGATGGGCACTCGACCAATTCAAGAATGTATGTGCTGAAATATTACCAGGAAGGTATCATCTGCCGTATTCAGTCAATCCTGACCATTCACATTCAACAGAATTTCCAAGTCGAATTCCACCGCAATGACCGGTTCGAGGCCTCCTTCTCGCTAATCGGTCTCGACGCCGCAGTCGCCAACGCTTTCCGCCGTATTCTTATGGCCGAGATCCCCACCATCGCCATTGAGGACTGCTTCATTCACAACAACACCTCTGTCATTCAAGATGAAGTGCTCGCACAACGATTGGGCCTGATCCCGCTCAAGGGCTCTGTCGAAGGAATCAACTGGATGCACTGGTACAAGAAGGCGTCCGAAGATGGATCCGAGGAAGAAGATGGCCCTTGCGACTTCAACACTATTGTGCTTCATCTTGACGTGGAATGTTACAAGAACGAGTACGCAGACAAGGACGAGCAGGACCCCCGCAAGCTGTACACCAATGCCCATGTCTACGCCAAAGACCTCATGTACATGCCCGTTGGTCGTCAGGAACAGTTCTTCGTTGGTGACGGAGCTATTGCACCCGTAAACCCGGACATTCTAATCGCCAAGCTCCGTCCTGGCCAGAAGATCGAGATGGAACTCCACTGCCAGAAGGGTATCGGTGCCGATCACGCCAAGTTCTCACCTGTGGCTACCGCTTCATACCGTCTCCTTCCTGAAATTAAGATCGTGCATCCTATCATTGGCGACGATGCAAAGAAGTTTGCCAAGTGCTTCCCTAAGGGTGTGATTGGTCTTGAGCCTGTCACCTCTGCAGAGGCCGCGCAGCGTGGAAGCGGATATGAGGGCCACGCCGGCGAGCAGAAGGCCGTCGTGAAGGATGCGTTCAATGACACTGTCAGCAGAGAGTGCTTGCGCCACGATGAGTTCAAGGACAAGGTCAAACTGGGACGTGTTCGGGATCACTTCATCTTCAACGTGGAGAGCACCGGTCAATTTGAGAGTGACATGCTCTTCTTGGAGGCTGTTAAGGTTATGAAGCTGAAGTGCAACCGGTGGAAGAGGGGTTTGACCGATCTGATGGGTTGATCAATTGGTCTTTTCTCTCTACACCTTATTATATGCATTCCTTGGCGTTGGATTTTTTTTTGGCTGCCTTTGCGCTGTACATTTACGAAAAGTCAATCAAGGCTTCGCCTCACGAGGCTGGAATCTGGATGTGTTAATTGTTTTGGAAAAAGCCCAACAGCTATCTTTTGAATTTTACACAGTTAACTAAGGCTAATCATCCCGGTCATAAGATATCTGATTTCTCGTAATTTTCACATAGAAACGTAGGGCAGGTTACCCTTATTTGAAGTGAAGACGGAAGCGGAATGTGGTGGTGTAGGCTGGGTCGCTGACAGCAACTTCCTCGCCGTCCTCGACCAAATCTACCAGCTTTTTCACCAGGTGGGGGCGAGTCATTTCCTCTAGCTGAGGCGGGAAACGCTGGTAGAGGGTCTTCTCTTCGGTCCGCATGCTAGGTTTCTTCAATTGAGCCTCGGCCCTTTCTCCAAGGCTCTCGATGAACTCGCCCAGTGTCATATTGGGATCCACATCCAGCTTCCGGGCAAGTTCTCCGCACACGGGGCAGTCGGGCTTCTTCTCCGCCTCAAAGGTGTATGTGTACACTCCCTCCTCACCAGCGTACATCATGTAGTTGCTTAGGAATGGATTGCAGCTAGTGGCAATCTTGAGTACTTCTGAAGTTGTGGAGGCCGCAATGACGGCGTTCGTTGATGCGATAGCCGGAATGATATTTTTCACCACACCCTGGGTCATCTGGAAGGTCACGCCATGGATATGGAAATGCTGGGCACGTTCGTAAGCGGCATTGTATATCCACGATATGTGTTCCATGTCATCGCTGTCAAAGGTGTCATCTTTGCGCTTCTCTTGCCATGCAATCTGGTGCGCCCATTCAATGCAGTGCTGAGGTTGGCGCGGGATGGTAGCAATGGTGCAGAGAGGGACTGCTGGACGAGGTGCGTGCATGTCCAGCTGGCACTCAATGCAGGATGAGATAGATGGAAGAATAACACGGGCTTGGCCCTTGAAACCTGTTCGATATATCAGCAACCCATTCTCGATCAAGTTTCGGTGCAGGTAGGTACCTTCAGTTCCACCATCAACAAGTGGCTTCAGGCTCGAAGGATCGTCTTCGTCGACCATTGAGATCAACGTGGAATTGATCCAGCGTCGAGCTTCGATGCTGTCCAGGCCACAAATGACAATATTAAACTGCATGTAATAATCCTCATCTTTATCCTGGATTTTGCCGACGTAGGGTGTGATCTTCACACCCTTAACTCGCTTTTGCACAAAAGCGGCGGCGACTTCAGCTTTGGGCTTTCCAATATCTGCCTGGCGGAACAAAAACTGCCGGTTTAGATTTGATATATCAATGGTGTCTGTCGACTGTGAGCTTCTGGTCTTGGCATTATGAATTGAAAGACATACCCATGTCAATGACATGAATATCTTTGAATCCTGACAGCGCGAGATTCTTTAAAATCTCACATCCTAGTCCACCAGCTCCGCTAAATTTGAGTCAGCCTCATCTCAATGGAACGTCACAACTTTGCGGGGTTCACCTACATCACCCTAGGGTTCATGTTAACAAAAGTAATCTTTCCTAGGTGAATCAACTTACAAAATTTTGGCAGATTCAAGCGCACTGATAGGCTCGGGGCCAGGGTTCCAGTCCTCGTCTGTGAAAGGACCTCGTTTACTTAGGACGTTGTAGAGGTGCTTCCTGTGGGGTGTTAGAGCAGATCAGACGTTTCAAGGGTCATTCAACGAACCATCGTCCCTGTTGATCCACGTAAATCGGAGGTTCTGGGGCATCTGGGGTTTGTACATCCACATCCATCTCGATAGGAATCCTGTTATGGGCAACCGATCAGAGTAGATAGGCGCAGTATCAATTCGCGTTACACGGGTCAAAGCTCGTTAAGATGTTTGATTGACAGAATGAACTTGTCGGGAATGATCTCAGATCAAGATCCACTTCAGCTTTAAAACGTATCACTTAAGTATTCAAATCACTGGTAATGGAGAGGCTGAGTTGACAACATCACCTGCGCGTGGGCTGTCTTGAGGTTACTATGGCTGACTAATCTTAGGCCCGCCTGGGTACTGTAATCTTCACCTCAGGCATAACATCTGTTTTCCTCCGGAAGTGATATTCAAATCGAAGATGGAGGGCCTTCTGACGGCAGTGAAAACCGTCAAGAGAGATTCTGACGCCCTTGTCACATCTACTGTCGAGTCTCTGCGTGCTGATCCGCCTGCAAGAACCAACCTCGATCCTGAACATCTATCATCACATCACATCATAGATCTACTCAAGTCCAGTCCCGATCATGAACAGCTGTGTGCCATTTTGGCAGCTCTTGATCCCTTCAGCAAATCCAAAGCTACAAAAGACTTCGATCTCCGGATTCCGAGTCCTATCACAGCCCAGATTCTCCAAGTATTAGTCAGCACGACGATTCCAGATCATTGGGCATCGCTAGATGCAACAGATAGCAAAGGGAAGGATGCCAAAGCTCGAGCAGCGTTATTGAGATGTCTTAGCAGCGTCGCGGGTCTCGGTTCCTTGGTGGCTCAGCTACGATCTCTCATCAATGCGGCCCGCGCCTCTGCCCAGCAAGCTCAAGGTTCAAGCAGCCAACTCGGTATCCGGGATCTTCTAGCTGTGCTTGCTGCTTTGCTAGAACCAGCGGACTTTTTATCCCGTGTTTTTTCTGACATTTCGGTCATATATGACAACAAAACTCGGCAGCAAGTTACATGGAGAGAACTTGTGTCGCTCGTTGCTGCCGGGAAGATTCTATCAACAGTAGCTGAAGCTCTTACTGTTGTTGATGAGCCAAGATCAGTGTCTTCCGTGTCCTGGGTCGGGAATGGCTCTCAATATGCATCGTGGCTTGGGCGCAATGTTTGGCATCTAGCAGCAAGGCTAGCCTCAGATAGCGAAAGCGACTGGGCCGCAGTTGCTTTGCTGACAGGACGAGCCTTAAGCCTTGGATATACAGGTGAATATACAGCTATTTATCCCTTTCTATTTGAGCCCTATGCTAACATCACATAGATCAAATTGTCAAAGAAATCTACTCGGGTCTGCTTCTTGGACAGTCCTCGCCGGCATGCTTTGGAATCTTATTAAACCACCTCAGACGGACGGAGCAGCTTGCAGTTGTAGAAGCAATATTCCGTGATATACAACGAAAGCACTTCTCAGATGATCTATCGGGGACAGTAAGCCCATCATCCACTCCTTCAGAGCCCATTGAAGGAGTGGCAGCTCTGATTTCCGCTGCCATTCCTTCTCATTCGGTCCTGGAAAGCCAAGTCCTGGAATGGCTCTCAAAATCGCAAGGTGGCTCGATAAACACGCTGGGACTGCGCCGTGCATTGTTGGCCACTTTCGGTAACCGCGGTGGTGAGTTTGCTTTGCTGAAGAAAGACAACGAAACTAACGACCTACAACAGATGTGTTGAAGTCATTGCTCATACGAACGCTTGAGCAATTTGGAGACAAGTTCTCTATCAAACATGTCCCAAATGTGGTGCAGAATGGTTTGTCAACAGTCCACGGTCCTTTGTGCCAAGAATATCAGCCTCTAACATTGAACAGCAACTGCACAAGTGATTCTTCTTGCCGCTGGCCACCTGTATCGGCTAGATCAAGGGCAGGTGAAAGAAGTAGGCCGGTCAGGAGCATACCTCAATGCAGTCTCCAATCGACTCGCTGCGTCCTCTAACAGAGCACGATTTCTCGGCATGATCGTTGGAACAGGAGTATCTGAACTCATTGAGCAACCAGAAAAAGTCCTAAAATTCGACCTAGAGGAGATGCGAAGCGAGGAAGCGCTGCGGTATCTGGATTTGACCAAGATCCAAGATAAGCTCGGTTCACCTGACACCATCAAAGCATTGCAAGAGGCATTGCCAGCAAAACCAGAGGCCCGCTCCAAGCCTGCACCAAAGCCCAAAGCACAATTTTCTCGCCATCATACAAGCAAGATAGTTGCTATTGAAGAAGTCGACGATAGTGACGAAAACGAAGATGAAGATGAGGATGAAGATCTCATTCCGTATGAAAAGCCGGACGACGACGCATACGATTCCGATGATGATCCCACGTTGATCCAACGAAATAAACCAGTAGCGCCGGTGTAAGTACAAATTGCCTGTTGATATCGATTTCGCTAACCAGTGTAAGATATATCCGTGATCTGATACCATCTCTCCGAGACACTGAGAATGTCGAGCGGTATCATCTCGCCATCACCACTGCCCCATCCTTAATTCGACGGAAGATAGGCTTCGGAAGTGAACTTGCCGAGCAGATCGAGGAGCTCGCTCTGACTGTCGTAGGTCTTCAAAATGATAACAATCATCCATCATTTCATGAATCTCGACTACAAAGCATGATTGCATTGATTGTGTCTGAGCCCTTCAAGATGGGCCGCTGGTTCACTGCCATTTACTTCGATGGTGACCTTTCTCAAGTCCAGAGATCCGCTGTTCTTACAGCGCTAGGTCTGAGTGCTCGCGAGTTAGCCGGGAATGGAGAAGATGACGCCAAAACACTGCGTCTCTCAACTACTGGCGATACCTCATTCCCATCAAAACGGCTCTCGCCTGCCCTAGAGGCGATGTACTCGGGGGAAATTCATCTCCCATCGCAACGCTCACCCAGAAAATGTCCCGCGCGTCTTTGGAACCGCTCGCAGCCAACGCAGCGGATACGATGGCTGGCCCCAATGCCCTCAAAGTGCGAACCTTCTCATCACGTATGGAAGTCGAGAAGAAACGCAAGCAGCGTGATGCCCAGCGACAAAGCTCCACAATCAAGGATCTGCACAAGGTGCTTGCTGAGGGTTTCTTTTTCCCACTGCAGGGTAGATTCGAGATAATGATGCTGCAGTTCTCGTCGTATGTTCTATGTCCTCATCTCAATTCTAGTCGTATATATTCACTGACACCACCTAGGTCCTCTTCCACCTCATACAACCCATTTTTCATTCCCCATCTCCTAACACTCTTCCTCCAAACTCTCACCCTCATCCTTTCCACAACAGGCCCCCACACCACCTTCCTCCCAGGCCTCACCCACGAAACACTCTCCCTCCTCTTATCACTACACACAGCCTCCACATCCAGCGAACCCACCGTCACTGCCGCGCTCCTGTCCCTGTTCCTCGCTATAGTGGATCTTAATATTGCGTCTGGCTCAAATGGCGAACAGCGTCTTGTCACGGAGTACGCCACGCAGGTGATCGAGTTGCGCGAGTGGGCTTCCCAGATCTTTGACCGGACGCCGCCTTCAGCTGCACAGGCTGATCCAAGTTCAGCTGTTACAGACCCGCAGGAGCAGATACGTACCCTTGCTGCTGGTGTTATGGTGCGGCTTGGAGAGGTCATACAGCGGTACCAAGGTCGCTTGATGGGTGTTCATTCTGGGTTCAGCTATTAAAACAACATCTGGGACACGCCTCTGTCTGTTTGCTGGTCTTCTTTTTTCTTCTTCTTTCTTCTTCTTCCCCTACGTGGAAATTCGAAATATCCTACTCCCAGACTAGCGGCAGGAGATTAAGACCTAGAATCGAAGCAGATGAACTACATGTGTGGAGACTGTGAAAATGACATACATAGGTATTATTATGACCACGTAGGCGTAGATTAGACCAATTAGTCCGCCTTGGCAAAGCTACCCTTCTCGATAGCCGCCTCCATCATCCGGTCCCCACTAATGATACTTGTGGTACAAATAATGATCTTCCTCCGCGGGGCTTCTTGCGCAGCAATGAAACGCAACGCGGCGATCTCCGTAAATGTGATACCACCCAAGAAAAAGACATACACAGTTTTAGTAGCAGAGTTACCACTCAGCGTTTGACGAGCCCGCACAGCCTTATCATCACCCTTCTGCACTATGCTGAAAGTTGCACCGCGGGCACTCTTGACAACGTCCTCAAATCCAAGCCAGCCAGGCGACGTTGTATTAGTGATGTTCAGCGAGGCCGCCGGCGTACCTCCCTTGATCAGCGAGATCATATAGGACTTTTGTAACACGCATTGAACCAGCCGGACGCTGAGGGGCGCGAAGCCACTGTACACGTAGGAAATATCATTCGGATCCTTTTCGCTGACCTCCTCGATGACAAGACGGAGGTTCTTGCGCAGGTATCCGTAGTTTGTCTTTGATCCTGCTTGCGCGCCGGATGTAGGGAGGAGCATAGTCGTCGCTGATGACCTAGGCTGAAGAAGTTCCATTTTCTCAAGCGCCCAGAACGTGAGGAGGTGCTGGTGGCCGTACGCTTGGACGACCTCTCTCTTGAAATTCTCCAGATCGCGGGGGCGGAGACCCCCAGACATGCATGACTCCAGGCACAGGAGCCGTAGCACAGTCTTTAGTGAAACATCTCGAGCTATAAGCTCTTCGATTGCCTCGTGCTGGTATGTAGAGTCGGCACCGGCTGCGTTGTTCTGCTGAACTTCCAAAGTTTTGCGGAAGGTTTCGGAGCGGGTGAGTCGCATTATTTCCTCTGCGAGGTTGGTATGAGTTCGAAGACTCTGGTGTTCCAGCTGGTAGGTTGGTAATCGATTGACAAATTCTCGTAGCTCGCCTGTCGTTTTAGCCGTGTGACGGCTCTCGTACTCATTTTCTAAGCGGCGTGCCACCTTATTCAGTATATCGCCCACGATTGCAAAGTTTGCATCTCGCAATTGGCTGAACAACTGATCCGAGGCATCCAGTTGGATCTTTCTTTTTAGCCCCTGCTTGCCTTGTTGGGGTGTTTTAGATGACTCTTGGGACTGTGGCGTGGGAGCAAGACCGACAATGCTCGTATCAACGTCTGCCTGATTGTTCTTTATACCGAAATATTCATCAATTAAGCCTTCATAGGTGAGCTGTGTGAGAAGGGGAGTCCCAAAGTCCACCTCACGGTCTATGATGATCAAGTTCTCAGCACTCGCACTTGGCAACAGCCCTCGGGCAGAGGGATCGGTTAATCCGGAGCTCTCCTCTGTGTCAAGTTCTTTTCTCATGCGCAGTAGGAGATCTGCAAGGCGCCGAGCATTGTCGCCTTTTCCAACAATACGTGGGAAATAGCCATGGCGCTGCTGAACACCCATGAGAGCCTTAGCGGCATGGAAGATACACCCGGGATCCTTGTGCTGGATAGCAAGGTCAGAAACTGTCACACTTAAACTTTAGCAACCTATTAGCTTACCAAGTACAAGTCTTCAAATGAGTCATCCAGTTCTAGTGACAAGATATCTTGCTCTAGAGGCATAAAATAGAGAGGAAGCTCGGCGATGTTCACGTCGCCGATGATTCCCGCCTCCTCTAAGACCGCATTGCTTACAAGGGTCCGTCGTGGGGCAAAGAAGATAGAGAACTCATGTTCAACATTCCCATTATTCTGCAGGCGTTTGATTTGTTCTAAGATAGATCTGTCAGCTCATCCTGATGGCACTCAATCAGAGATAGCAGGAAAGGGCCCTAATGAAACGAGCTTGTAAAGTGTTGTAAAGATAGATATCGATATAGGGAACGTTTCTTCAGATTACATAGAGTAGGAAGGACTCTGTGCAATCTAATGATGGCCCATTATGGACCAAATGAAAAGATCCAATATACAGTCTAACAATCCGAAAAGGGGCAAAAGAGAGACAATGTCATACCTGCCACAATTCGAACGTGGCGAGCTTTCTCGCCACGAACAAGGAATACAACATTGCGTTGTGATGAGTCGATGTTTGCATTTTCCAGCAAGAAGACCCGGTCCACACCATAATCCTGAAGCACGGAGAACTTGACGAATAGCCCCACTGGGCCGGCCAGCTCCTGGCTTATGACGAGGTTCTTCTTACCCCGGGCCTGGAGAATAGTTAGCGCAGATCAGAATATCAAGGAGTTGTACTCACGCCTTCTAGTAAAGTCAAGAGATCCCTCCGCGCCTTATCCCTAAAGTAGTCCGCATCAGACCCCGATAAAGGAGCCATTTCATCCAGGCAGCAGAGGCAATGTTGTGGCCAAAAATAAACAGAGACGTTGAAGTGCCACTGCGCCCGCATTGGGTTAGCACTGCCACTGCTGATGTAACCTCGTAAGTTTGGTATTGGTATGGTTATCACTGCACTATGCACGATCAGTCCAGCGGGTTTCTTTGGTATACTCCTCGTATATATATTACCATCAGGCGGCGATCTTGAACATCTAGCTCCCCTGAAGGCGTCTCACATTAATTCTTTCTTGTCTCATGTCATTCTATTTCTCCTTACTTTCTTGTACTTCACTTCACACTCAATCATTTTAATTTCATACAGCAAATCTTTACAACCCTACACAACCTCCATCACATAATGGGTCTTTTTAAGAAATCCGATGGCGACGATGACTCTAACCGCCGAGCACTCTTCGGCTCTCGAAAGAAGGACAAGAGCCCATCGACCCCCTCCAACCCCTACGCCCAACCAATCCCGGTAGATCCTTACACAAAAGCCAAGATTGGCGCGGGTGTTGCGCCCTTACCTGCCGACCACCCAGCCGCCAACGGTGGCCCCGCGTCGCAGAGCCCCCACTCCATTCCCTCGGACAACAAGTACGCCGCCAACAGATACGGAAATCAAGGCGGCTACGGCAGTGATCGTTTCGGCGGATCAGGCGCAGGCGCCAGCTCAGCTAACGGTTCGGGCTCGGGCTCGCGATATGGAAACGGCGGCTACGGAGGTCTGGGCAGCAACGATCCCAATGACCCCGCGGCTGCAGACTCCGCTCGCAACGAGCTGTTCGGCAATTCCAACCGGAGGTCGCCCGACAACTCGGGTGCTTCGCCACCACCGTACTCCGAGGGTCAAGGTGGTCAAGGACAAAGCAACTACGGTGGCGGCAGCAACGAATACAGCATGGCGACTTTCCAGGATCGACAGCTGACAGCCGAAGAAGAGGAAGAAGAGGAAGTTCAGGCGACGAAGAACGAGATGCGCTTCGTGAAGCAGGGTGATGTTGCGTCAACACGGAACGCACTTCGAGCTGCCGCACAGGCTGAAGAAACAGGTCGCGCTACTCTGGCCCGACTCGGTGCGCAGGGCGAGTCTATCCACGGAACGGAGAAGACTCTGGACATGACGGCTATCGAAGGTCGCATCGCGGAGGATAAGGCAAAGGAGCTCAAGACACTCAACAAGAGCATGTTTGCCGTGCATGTGGCGAACCCATTCACAGCCTCGCGGCGTCGACGCGAGCGCGATGAGAAGATCCTTAGTACACACCGTGGTGATCGTGATACCCGCGACGGCACACGAGCCGAGGCACACCAGACCAACCAGCGCATGGACCGGGTGTTCCGTGATATCGATCGCGATGCGGCGAAACAGGGCAAGGGCAAAAGGCGAGTGTCACTGAGCGTGCCAAGTACCAATTCGAGGCGGATAGCGAGGACGAGGCATTGGAAGACGAAATCGAGCAGAACTTGGATTTGCTCAGTGGTGCCACTGGTCGGTTGAACGGTCTTGCCAAGGCCACCGGCAAGGAGCTGGACGAGCAGAACAGACATCTGGAGCGTATCATGGGCAAGGTGAGTATTCTACTAGCCCTGCAGTATGATATGGGTATGGAGATTAAACTAACTTGCTGCAGAGCGATTACGTCGACGATCAAATTGCCATGAACCGGGCCAAGCTGGACCGGATCCGTTAGATATCTTGTTCCAGATCAATGGGGCTGCGGTATGCCTGGTGCTGTCGAGCTCAGTAATCTTCTACGTGCGCTCTGTCCGTTGGACATTGGATCACAAATTGGCGTTGGGGCTGGTTCTGCATTGTCTGCCGTGGTCATATCAGAACCGGCGACTAGGATATTGGTTGAATATCAATTATCATAATTTCATTGCGATTTATTCCGAGCACATCATAAGATCCGAGCACATCATAAGAAGTCCATTGACCTCAACCATAGGGAATTAGACTGCACTTTGTGATGCCCAAACCCCTTAGGTGTGCGATGCGAACTGGGTAACTCTTTGCTATTACCCAATAACCCTGGGAAACCTACGGCATAACTCTTGACATTCAACTATTCAAGTCTCATCAAAATCCCACGGAGATCGACATCCCGACTGTGGGGAGTGTGGGGGGAGCACCCGGAGAATGAACCTCCGCAGAGCCCTAAGTGTAACATAGTATAAAACCACCACACCTCCACTCCAAGAACAAATCACTGACTTCTACAAGCCAATACCTCCCCAGTTCCCAATTTCTCAAATATCACCATGTCTCTCCCCCAGAAAACCGACATCCTTGTGATAGGCAGCGGCAACGCCGGCCTCAGCGCCGCCCTCTCAGCCGCGCAAACAAACCCAACCCTAAAAGTAACAGTAATCGACAAAAGCCCGTCATCCTGGGCTGGAGGCAACAGCTACTTCACAGCCGGGGCCTTCCGCACAACACACAACGGCCTCCACGACCTCCTCCCACTAGTCAACAACACCGACGCAGCACAAGCATCCCGCATTGACATGCCAGTCTACACAGAACAAGACTTTACAGCCGACCTCCAGCGCATGACAGGAAACCGCACCGACCCGACACTATCAGCAGCTCTAGTGCGCGACTCCCGCGCCGCCATCGGCTGGCTAGCCGCCAACGGAGTCCGCTTCCAGCTCTCCTTCAACCGCCAAGCCTACGAAGTCAACGGCCGAATCAAGTTCTGGGGCGGCCTTGCGCTGAAAACCCAAGACGGAGGCAAAGGACTCGTTGAGGATGAGCTGCGCGCGGTCAGGAACGCCGGCGTGGAGGTCTTCTTCGACACAGCCGCCACGGCACTAGTTACCGATCCAACCAGCGGCGCTGTCATCGGCGTTGAAGTCGTCCGCAGCGATGCTGGTAAACGTAGTCAAACCACCATCGCTTCTGGCGCGGTCATTCTCGCTGCGGGTGGGTTCGAGGCGAATCCGCAGTTGCGCGCGCAGTGGCTGGGGCCTGGGTGGGATAGTGCGCGCGTGCGTGGAACGCCGTATAATACGGGTGAGATGTTGCGGATTGCGCAGCGGGATGTGGCGGCCAAGACGGCGGGGAATTGGAGTGGATGTCATAGTGTGGCGTGGGATGCGGATGCGCCTGCTGATTCGGGGAATCGGGAGGTTTCGAATGAGTTTACGAAGAGTGGGTATCCGCTGGGTATTATGGTCAATCGGGATGGGGAGCGATTTGTTGATGAAGGGTTTGATATGCGGAACTATACGTATGCGATGATTGGGCGACGGGTGCTTCAGCAGCCTGGGCAGGTTGCGTTCCAGGTATGGGATGCGCGGACTGCGGCGTGGTTGCGGGAGGAGGAGTATCGGGGTGAGGTTGTTCGGCGGATCGAGGGAGGGTCGTTGGAGGAACTTGCAGAGAAGTGTGCGGAGGTTGGACTTGTTGATCCTGGGCGGTTCGTGGAGACTGTGAGGGAATACAATGCCTCTGTGGATGGTGAGGGTGGGCAGGAGAGGTGGGATCCTGCTGTTAAGGATGGGCTTGCTACTAAGGGGCTGGCTGTTGCTAAGTCGAATTGGGCTTTGCCTATTGACAAGCCGCCTTTCCTGGCTGTCAAGGTCACTGCGGGCATCACGTTCACTTTTGGTGGATTGGCTGTGAATCCGGAGACTGCCGCAGTCATTTCGGAGACTACGAGTGATGAGGTTCCCGGATTGTACTGTGTGGGTGAGATGCTTGGAGGGATCTTCTATGATAATTACCCTGGTGGAAGTGGATTGACTTCTGGGACGGTCTTTGGACGTCGTGCTGGTCGAGCAGCAGCAGAGCGAGCTGGGAAGAGCGGAAGACTGGAACGGTTGTGATGCCCCAGGGATTAGACTATAGAGAAGGTACTTGTAACTACGAAGAAATATAAGATGTTGTTCAGAATGTCTTTTATTGATTAGACAATATATCTAGTAGCGACTGTGTGAATCTTGAACCAAGCCAGGCCCAGCCAGTATCAAAACAATAGGAACCATGCTTTCCTATGGGTATCATCACCAACACCAACCCAAATGTGCACGTTCTTGATGAAAAGGGCGACTGGGTGAAAAGACGACAATGTGAATGCTTTCAGCGATGCAGAATGCAGGACATGGAAGATTAAGAAGCGAAAAAAAAGAAGTCAGGGTATTGCCTTCAGAGAAAATAAGAAACATCGAATCATCACAAGCCCCATGGTATCGAGAAAAAGCAGAAAGGTGACGCCCAGGTCTAGCGAAAGGATAAGAAATGAAATGAAAGCAACGCATCCAGCCGGAAACCTCTATGGTCGTAATGTGAGTGAAACAAAGTATGGAAATATGGAAAGGAAGAAAAGGCTCTCTCGTGCCTGTGGCCCTCGGAACAGGTCCCATTATACCCATAAATCACAGACCGTTTTGGAAGGAGTATGATATGTAGGAACGTTCATCTCTCCGATTAGGAAATGTTTCTCGGGAGTTGATATAGAAGGTGATGAAAAGGCGATCCATGCTGTTGTACAAGGAGAACCCGAGCCGTGGAAAGATAAACATGCCAACACAGTTGGTTCATGCATTGGCTCGTGGCATAGGGTGAACAGGTTTGTGGCGGGTGGAGGATATAGCGCTGTGTGCGCGGGGGGCGTAGGCGAGAGAGTCCACGGGATTTCCCCGAATGGAAGAACGTAGTCGTATGGGAGATTGGCAGGGATTACTCGTCATCATCGCCAGAGCCGGTGTCCTTCTCGCCCTTGTGGACCTTCTTGTGTCGACGCAGGTTTGAGACAACGGAGAAGTGCCGCCCGCAGCCTTCAACATCACACGCGAATGCTGGAAAATGTTAGAATCCGAATTTTTGAACGATTTGACTTTCAAAAAAGGGTAAGAGCTTACGCTTTTCACCAGTGTGGCTGTACATATGCGTCTGCAGAGAAGACGGACGCGTGAAGCGCTTATCGCAGACCTTGCACTTGTGCTTCTTCTGGGTATTGGAGGGCATCTTGGAGCTGAATTGGCTCATCATCGATTGCGGGCCAGGGGGGCACTGCCAGCCAAAAGGCTGGTCGGCCGGGGGAGAGTGCGGGATTCGTATGACTCGGAAGTTGTGGAGCTGTAGTCTGTCACGGAGGAGTCGACGGAGCCCACCGAGGCGCTGTAGTAGGGGTAGTTGCTGCCGGAGGAGATAGATGAGGCGGAAGATTGGGTGGAGGGGAAACCGTAGGAATCGGCTGAGCCTCGCGCGCCGCGGTGGCCAGGACCGTAGATGTTGCGGGGAGTCAGGTCCTGACTGAGAGCGACCATTCCCCGGCTGGCGTCAAGCGCATCACCGAAAGTGGGGGCGGAAGCTGAAGCGCTAACACGAGCGGCATCTCTGAAATTTGTGTAAGTTTTTTTTTTCTTTGCGATTCCGAGGTAAACAAAGCGGAGTCGGAATTTTTGACTTACGAGTGCGAGATCCGACGGCTGTCTTGTGCAGAAGGGTGAATGGGGGCGTAAGCGTAGCTAGAAGGCGCGAAGTTGCTCATTGGAGGAGCGGTAGTGTAAGAGGGAGCCTGGTCGAAAGTTGTGCGCGGCACCTCGTGTTGCATGGCCATCACTTCTGGGCCATAGCTGGCGGTCGCGTAGGAGGTCCCAGCCACCATTGACGGAGCGGACACGGGAATGTTGGGGTATGACATAGACATGCCGGTGCGATTCACTTCCTCCTGCTTCACCTGAGCGAGGGCCATGCTGGCGCCATTGCCCATGGAAGTCGCATAGACCGGGGGTGTCGAGTGCGACGAAGTATGTGCCCAGGGGTCCGTGAATTGTGGTGGAGTGTGATGATAAACATTGTCGAAACTCATGCCGCCATAGGGGCGGTTCTGGTTTTCCATAACCATCGTCATGGGGGATGTAGAGTCGCGAATCGATCGCGTGTAGCAACTGTGTAGAGAGTGAAGATCGAGTCCAGAAGGTTGGAGAGAGATCGTCTGTGTTGATCCGGAGTTTTAAAAGAAATAGACCCGATGATCAATTATATCAGAAGAAAAAAAAGAGAAAGGCAGTCTGGGGAAGGGGATCGGCGAAGCTTATGAAGGAATATAAGGTGTGAGGCATGATCCCATACTCCAAAGTGCCACTGACGACGTCCCGTCGGGGATTGCAGATCGCTGGAAATTATAATACCGGTATTTATTTTTCTTTTTTTGTTTTTTTTGGAGATTTTTTAGATTTCACATTTTAAGATGATTTTTTTTTCTTTAATTATTTTCTTTCCTTTTTATATTATTTTCTCTTATTTTTCTTCTTTCTCCAATTGGAGGCCATCCAAAAGTGGCCCCTCAACGGGAACCAGTTCCTCGGATGTGAAATTACTGATATTTACCATAAGCATACTAGTAAATCCAATTTACCCTTTCCATCAGGGTCTAAAATATATTAATTGCTTAAGCATCAACTAGGCTGAGGAATGGAAGATCTAAAGAATCGGTAGATAAGTATTTAAATAAGAATGTGGAAATTACGCTCCGGCATCGGAACGACAATGAGAAGGAACCATACAAAAAGGTCAGAGGAAGTCGAGATGGATTTCTAATCTAAGGAAAAGTAAAAAGGAGTAAAAATCATGAGACCCAAAAAGCAGTCGGTGACCTCAGAATCAAAGGGGGTGTGTAGACTAGGGGAATGTTCAATTGTAGACTAGCGGTGATGAACGCTGAATGGTCCAACTGTGCCGTGTCTAAGGGACAGAGGAAATTCAAAAATAAAAGAATCGAAAATGAAAACAGAAAATCAAAATCAAAAAGAAAAAAAAAAGAGGAAAAGAAAAAGGGACTGCCAAGAAATAAACTCACCAAGGTTTGCCCTGAAGGCGCTGTTTCATTATAGCGGGGCAGATCCCAGTGTCAATGGGTATACCCGTTACCGTGGGGATTAATATGAGAATATAGCAAAGTAGTTCTTCATTTAGTTCAAGATCTACTGAAACATTTCAATGCAAAAAAAAAAAAAATTGCAGAGGAAAAATGTCTCTGGGATAACGGAGGAGCTCTTCCTGATTGGCAAGCTGCAGGATCAAGAAATATACGATGAAAATAATAAATAGAAAATGGCTTAAGCCATGGAGGGGCCTTTGACACGGCACAGAGAGGGTTTAGCGCGTCAACCCGACCTTACATCGAGTGAAGGGCGAGTATCGAATCACTAGCCAACATTATTGACTGCATTCTAATTGCATTTGATTAGGGAATTCACTAAAAAATGCGATGACGTTGGATATCTAAAGTCGAGGGCTCCAATTTTAGACATTAGACCGAATATACATAGCGCAGAAGGTGACTTAGTACCTCCAGACGGAGTACACATGTGGAGGATGTACAGTGCCGATGGAGCACACTCCACACGGGATAAGAATGCCACACGAAGGCGACAACCACACACTCTATGTTGTATCGGGAGAGGGTATATTCCGCGGAGGTTTTCCGACCCTTTTCCCTCGGTCGCATAACTACCAATGCACATAAAATACGAGCGTGCAATTAGGTCGCGCCCAGCGGAAGCACAAAAAATAACGCCTCCTGCACGAAGAAGGAATAAGTTGGGATTCCAACGCCATTAGCCGGGCCATGCGAGCTGTATCACATAGAAAATACCCTTAAGTCCACACCTAAGGCACCCGGGAGACCATAAACAGGATCATAACCTCGTATTGCGTTTGTGATAACAAGGGCCACGGGCTGCAAGCCATGTTTTTTTTTTCTCCCCTGGGATTGGGACAGCTGGACAGCGACGTCAGAGGGGCGGAATACCCATGGGGGTGGGTGGAAAAAAGGCCGCTTTGGATATATTGGCGGGCGCGGCTCCCGCAATAGCGCGGTAGAGTGGAAGGCCCGAATCGGATATGTCACAACTTAACCTTTGGAATTTGGGATTATTCCCATTTGCCTCGTGCTGTGGAACCAAACATTCATCCTTTCTTTGGTATTCAATAGTGTGTGAATATGCAATAAAAAATTTTCCGATATCGACTATGGTCCCCGAGACTCGGGGATTGATGTCACCCCCGGAGGTCGCTGTTTATTGTAACGGATCCTCCGTGCTTGCGTACGGAGTACAGGGTTGATCACAAGGTACGAGAGGGGGAGATCGTCGAGCGAAAGCCGAGGAAGAGGCTGAAGAAACATTACATAAACTGGAATCCACCCAATCAGATCGACTGTATATAAGAGTCTCCATCGATGATTGGCGTTTAGCCGGGGGAGAAAAACCAAGGTGTACAAGATTGTAGTATCTTGTGCCTTCATCCGGTACAGCATTGTGAACTACACAAGCATTCAAGAATCAGACCTCCCAAGAGGATATGGGAAGTTCTAATGGTTCGACCATGATCTCATGGAGATCTTCCAAACCGGGTAGCTTAAGAACCCCAAAACCAAAACCAAACGCAGTTCCAACGTGGGAAGTTTTCTTGGGTCTCAGGTTTCTCCGCATTCCACTAAATCATGGCGCCAAGGGGTTGCGCGGTTTTCCAGAAAAAACCTAACCGTGGAAACAGTCCGACAATTAAGCAACTTGTGGGCCATGGACAAACATCGGTGGTTCGGTCTTCATTCGCTCACCTTGTACGGAGTAAGATTACAAAGGTCATTTGATCAAGTTCAGTATGGGAGTGAACACGGAAATAGCTTTCCATGGCGGAAGTGTCCATGGGGCTCGGGTTACCGGATTAAGATTGGAGTCGCGATTAGGTTTCTATCAAATTACTCCAAGCACTTTATCCAAGCATTTTATTCAACTTTAGCCTTTGGGTTTGTCCTACAAGATGGGTGGACAGTGAGCGAACCCTGGAACGATACTGTTTGGTTTACTCCGTACGAGAGCCAAGGTTAGTAAAGACTATAAATTGTATAAAATAGGGCCGACTCCATATAGACCTATCAGTTACTAGCTTTATCCCCTCTATGTTGTACATCTCAACTATCAATACTAAGACGAAAGGTCTCAGTAGTCCGGGTCCCGCGAGTCTAGACGGTCGGGGTGGACATTCCCAAAAAGCAAAACACAAAGCACTCGGCAGTTAGGTACCTAAATCAAGTCCACATTGCATAGTGAAAGGGGCAAAAGGAAACCCAAGTACTCCTCCGTACACCGTCCAAGTTCAAGAAACCTTGAGCTTCAACTTACCCCATTTTGGCAAAAAAAAAAAAAAAATGCCCATATGGAGCCCTGAAAATTAGGGAGGCGCGAACTCGCGCCAAATCAACTCCAAAATCCAATAAAAGAAAAATAAGCAATGCAACAAATGGACTCTAGTCTGATGGTAACCCCCCTTTTTTTCGCCATGCCGTGTTGGTGGACTTGGCAGCTCACCGGCAGTACTCCGTCGCTTTGAACGAACGCCAAACAGTGTTGGCAAATGTGGCGTTTTCGGTGCTGATTTTTGAGTGCAGGGTGAGGAGGGGGGGTGTGGATGTGAGATCGAAAGTGTGAACGCCAAGATGTTTGTGTGTGTGGATATGTGGTTGTTTGGTTCCTCCCAATTCGTATAGCACATTGGCATGGCGTTCAGTAGTTCCAAAATATGTGCTTTTTGAGGAAGGTATACCTTGGCCATAATATTGAGTCGGAGCGTGCCGGATGGACAGATCCTGAGACTGGAGTCAAATTGTAAAAAAAAGTGTATCTCTCGAGAAGTCTATAGGCTCTACAGGTCCACCGGAAGGGCCCCCTGCTAGACACGGGAGGGGTGGACCTCTTTAAAGCCCTGTCTTCTAGATGGGCCTTGACGGCTCTGACCGCTTTTCTTGCTCCCAAGCAGGAAGCATACTCCGGACACGGCTCATAATAATGACGCGTCCTCTGGGACCCTGAGATGTTATTAGGAGTTTGTGATTTCACTGTCTGCGGATTACTCCGTTGGGAATAATGTGTTTTCCCGAGAAACCCGCTGGAAAATTCAGGAATGGAAAAAAAACAACTGGCGGTCAGAGAACGAGGTGACAATCCAACGAAGGAATATGTCGAGTCCCAGACTTTCTTGACAATGTATGTTGTACATTGTAACAATGATTATCTGGCTGACCTGAAAATCCCTCCCTCAAACGCTGTAATCAGATCCTTATCTAGCACGTTGACGATCCGCCTCAATGCCGAGTGTCAATCAGGTACCCTTGACCAACAGAGGCCTGTCATCTGCATGGGGCTCCGATCTTGGCAGTTCCCACACGGCAGATCGTCATTGCCCCTAAATCAAGGTTGACATTGTGTGCAAATCACCGTTTTCTTTTTGTCTCGTATTAGATATGATAATCTCTAGTCACAAATTGGTGTTCAAAGACTGGAATGAAGTAAAAATACTGCATTTTGGTGGATATTAGTCCCCTATCATGCGGCATCACTGCAGAAATCGCACCTAGTTGCTATACATAGAAACGGCTGAAACGTTCAACCGTTCTTTACACATTCACAGTGTTGCATCCACACAGTGGACCTGTGGATTCTTAAATTTACAAAAGACCATGGAAAGTCCAGCAGTCCGGGTAAATTGGATAAGCCCAAGGTCCTGGATTCCACCCTCTAAAAAAAAAAAAAACGTCAATGTCATTGAACCATGCCGCTTATTCCGATACCGGACCCCCTCTAGGCTTTTTTGTATTGCTTGGGCCGAGTACGGTTTAGCTCACTCCAAATCAGGCTAGCGTGGCTTAATTCCATTGGGTCCACATTCTTACATGTTTGCTGCAGAGCCTTTCACCCAATCATCAATGAGGATTTACAAGCCAGGCCCACCTGGAGACGGCAGATAGTCGATAGCCGATCTTGGCAGCTGTTGATCGACCAATTGTATTGACAGACCCACCAGGAGCTGACGCGTGCTCATCCCGCGCATTTGGGGGTCAACGTGGTT